GCAGGCACAACACTATCAGTAACCCACTAAAAATTGCTGCAACAGTAGTTGTGAGCTATAGGAATAGCCACAGTACCAAGTTGCAGTGTCCGTCGCCGAAAGTTACCATTTACACAACCTCGTGCAGAAAAACTGACCAGTGCTTCTTGCCTAGCACACGATTTATCTGTGGAAATGTATGTTTCAGTGAAGGATCAGTAAGCGTGCTGCAAACGGCATGAAGTCAACCTCTACAGCTTGCATCAGAGAAACAAACCACTCCTAAAAGAAACAACAAGATTAACCTTTGCAGAAGAGCCTGAAAAAAAGCCTAATGAATATTGGCAGTCCACTCACATGGTCAGATGAAACCAATATAAATTTGTTTATATATCGGATGGAGTCCAGCATGTTTGGTATGGGCCTGGCTGATGTGGGGCTGTTTTGGACTGGATGAGAGGTTCTTTCTGTTAAACTGAAGGTGGAGATTGTCCGTGGAGAGTTCTCAAAATTCTCAACTTGTTACCAGATCCAAAAAATTTTCTGGAACTTCTCAACTTATGAGGAACTTCAACAAGCTCTTGAAGCATCTGTCAGGACATCTGATACTGGATCTGGACTGATAAACTGTAATGCTGCTGCTTGCAAAACAAAGTGAAACATTTCCTTAACTCTTGGGGAATTTTCTTCACTTATTTTTGAAGATCAACATATATCTTACATGTTTAAGTGAAGAAAAAACTGGTACGTTTACAGGCCATCTTTAGCATTCAGCATTCATCAACAGTTTTAAGAGAACATACACAACCTGTTGTTCTGTGAGTGTTTTTGAGGCAGTGTAAGGACAACTTTGCATTTTAATGTTGCATCTGAGGTTGTATTGCTGTTAACACAGGTCATATTTCTCCAAAACTGCCACCAAGCTAGTCTTCATGTGCTATATTCATTTTCATCAGCCGTTTCTGTTAATGAGAAACTGTTGGCTCTGGAAATATATAAATATATAAAATCTGTAACTTTTCCACATGAAAATGTCTAAAACACTCATGGTAACGCTACGTGTCATTGGTTGCCTGTCAGTGACATCATATCCTCTATGATCATGTGTCAGTGTGGTGTTTGTTTTAAGTCACACTTTTTACATCTTGGTGGTTTTCAGCTCTGTATTTGAACCAGATGAAGGATTTCAGTCGTCGGACGTCTGGATCTGAAGTTATCAGAGAAACAAGCTGAGGAAATGTTAGACAGCTCAGCTCCCAGCTGCTGGAGACGTCCTGTCCTGTGTCACCGAAGAGCGTTGCTGAATCTCTGATCTTTCTGGGTGTTTCTACTGGTTTTAATCCCCTGGTGTGTTTGTTATGGAGAGGAGGACACCTCTGTGGATAATCCAGCTGCTGGTAAAAACCTCCTGAACATCTGCTTCATAAGTTATAGAGAAACAATCAGAACAAAGGTTAGCATCAATCTCAGCTCCAGCTCTTCCCTGAGTCTCTGTCCTCCGTACAGCGTCGCTCAAACTCTGACTTTAAATGTCAAACTGCTTTATTCAGTGTTTTTAACATTAAAATCATCGAGTCTGTTTGATTTCCTGAACCATCACCATATCTCTATCATTTCACTGCTATGAAATATAGAATTTGATTTGTATTTGCAGATTTTGTTCTGATTTTCTCAATGGTGGTCAATTATTACAGATGCACTTTTTTCAGTATTTCAAGGGGAATGAGCTATTTCCAATTATTTTAATCTTAAAACAGCTTTTCACACCCATTTAGGTCACATAAAAAAAGAAATATCTATCTATTGGTGACTTTCTAATGAAAATGAACTGGTGTATTTACACCATACGTATGTACTGTATGTATTCCTAAGTTAATATTTACACGCACACACACACACACACACGCACATGCACACGTGCACACGCACACACGCGCGCGCGCGCGCGCGCACACACACACACACACACACACACACAGATACACATGCACAGGAGCAAATGTCCCAGCTGGTCTGGGAGCACCTGGAGATCATACAATTTCGTGACAAGTCCATTTGTATTTGCTGGAACTTGCAAAGACACTTGTGTTGTACTTGACAGTCCAGATGTGACTATTTTGTCCAGATGTGACAATTTTGTCCTGTTCAGCTATACATGCAGCTGATCTTATAGAGGAGGTTTGGTTCAAATAACAATGTGAACACTCAACAAAATAAAAGCCAAGTCTTTCTTTAATTGCAGTGGTTTTTGTCGACAATGTACTTGTCTGACAAGATACAAAAGGAATTTCTAAAAGGATAACAAATGACTAACTAATGATTTTCATTTCTTGGAGTACCCACTATCGCTTTGACTGAGTGCACAGCTGAAATCACTCAACAGTTACTTCTAGTCACCCATCACTCTCATAGCAGAAAAAATGTCTCCAGGTGACAACAACAGCACTGACATGCAGGGGCCTCTAACATACACTTTACACACCTGCAAACAAAAGTCATTTGGTACGGGATCATTTCGGGCTGGGTATCGTTCAAAATCCATTTTTTCTTGAAAATCTTTGTACACGTAATGCAATTCTGCATCAAGGCTGTCTTAAGGTAAACCACATTTAGGGTATTTACTGTACAAATCTAACAAACTATCTCAACAGACTATCTGATCAAAGAAGTAAACTAGACTAAATCTGACTGAGTGGTTTTTGTCTTCAGCTTGCAGTGGTGTAATTATTGGAAAACACAATTTATGTGTGTACTGAAAAATGATTAAGGTTCTAATCCCAATGCAAATGTACGTGCACTTTTGCTTTAGAGCATCTGTGTTTGTGCCGAACTGTTTCTTCCAGCACATTCCTCATAACAAACAATCCCACTTTCATTAAGCCTTCAAAGGCAAGACTCCGAGCATTAGAAGAAGATGAGAAAATAATGAAAACACTCAAGAATGCTCAATTAAATTTCATCCATGACTGACTCTAACATTTTCCCAGGTGTCTTAACATATCATTTGGTCTAAGACGTCCTCAGTGGATACAAGGAACAACCACAAACAATAGTAAATATTTTCCTTTTTTTCTTTTTTTTATTCAAATGCTTGTGTGCCTGGTTACCTCCCCATATACTCAAAAAAGGTACTGATAGTGGCACTGTGTGGTGAGAAATGAGCTAAAAAATACATTAAAATGTTTTGGCTATCACACCTATTTACATAATAAAAGACATATTTTCTACTCCCTATCCTTCATATAATCACCAAAGATATCCTTTTTCATTGACTGGCCAGTTAACCTTTGTGGGTGTGGTCAAATCAATTCAACCTGCAATAACTCTTGAATGCTTCATCCAATTGCAACCAAATGCAGTTCAAGTGTACATACTGATATCCCAAATAAGACCGCTGCGTTTCATGCAGATTCACCACTAGGGGGCTCTGTAGTAAAACTAGAATCACCTCCTCGTGGTTGTCTCCACTCAGACTAGTTTCAGGTTCAATCCCTGTTTATCCAGAGTCATATCAAATATGAACCATTGTGTGAAATTTTGTCATAATTGCTGCGAGAAGTCTTGAGTGGCTGAAGTGTTTTGTGAGGTCACACTGACATTGACCTTTGATCACCAAAATCTAAAATCAGTCGTCAGCTGAAAGTAAGCTGCAAGATCTAGTTGTTCTATTTTCTTCCTAGAGCTGTGAAGTGAAAATGTCAGGACGACACATTGATCAACATCAGAGCATATTTTAATCAAGGGCAGAAATCACACTGTGTCTTTACATACAAGATCATTTTCAGATCAGTCCTCATCAGCTAACGAGTTACTAAGGACCGTTGCTAGGGAGGAGTGTTACTGCGACTTAGTGTATGAGGTCCTGATAATATCTCGTTATCTCAGGATAATGAGCTTTGTTATCTTGAGATAACGGGATAAAAAAGTATTTGCAAGTAAGGCCTTTCTCAGCTTCCGTACAGATGTGCGTCAGAATCTTTCAAATATATAGCAAGGAATCCACATCCTCCTTTTGTCCGAGACTCAACTTGAATTACGAGTCTTCAATAACAGAGATGCCCGACTTCCAATAAACCACTAGCTCGAGCTGTCAAGAGGAAATAATTCTTTACCACATGGCTGTTGATAACATGATCACATATATATTTTTACATACATCTTATTATACACCTTTATTGTACATATAGGAACTGTATGAAATTATAATTTATAGCCTATATATACTGAAATACATTTCATATACACAATCTTTTGGCATGGATTCAGCTTAATAGAGTAAAATACTGTAAAAATTAGTTTTGCTTTGCTTGAATTTTTGTTTCCAGTTCCTTGTGGAAAAGTAAAGTCATTCATTGAAATGTTGAGATCTGCGTGCTTTCAACAGTTACTGATGAAACTATAACTCCATTCATAAGGGAGCAACCCAATTACCAAAATAATATCTTTGGATGTTTCGGGTGACTGTGACAAATTGTGAAAATAATGTTGAGTTACTGGCCGTGACCACATGCTTACGCTTAGGTGTCCACATTAAATGTTGTCCCTGTGGAGAAAAACACCATCATGTGATACATGTTCTTGTGGTGATGTTTTAACGATTGTTGAGGCGGTGGAGTTGGATGTCAACAGCTCTTGAAGCAGAATCCATGTCACGCAGCACAGACATGTGTGAGCAACACGCTCCTCCAAAGTCTTTTATGGCCGACACAAACCGTCTGGCCCATCTAAACCATCCTCAGTTGTGACGGGATAATGAAAAACATTGTCCACAGCTACCAAACAGACACAGGCAGAGTGTTGTGGCGGGGGTGGGAGTGTGGGGTGTGTTGTGTGTGTGGGGGGGGGGGTGTTAGCATCCCTGCGGGTACCCCTCGCTCTCAGTTCTTGTGCAAGCAGCTTCATCCATCAGTCTGATGACAAGGCGCAGTGCAGAGCGCACCAAAAACATGTATTTTTTTTTTTTATCATAGAATTACATGTTACTTTTCCAAATGAGTGGATGTCCACCTTTCAGATAGTCAGCATGTCACTTATATGTTCATTTCATAGCAGGCCCACTGTGAAGAGTTCCTGTCCTCCTGTCTAATTTGGCGTCCTCTGCCTGCTGGAAAAACAAAATACACAAAGACACGTAAGGCCACACCTAATCAAGTGCTAAATCAACCATGATTCACAACAAGGTAAAGACCGCCATGAACCAGCAGAGTGGATGCTCCTCCAAAACCTGCCAATATTTCTTTTACACTGTGTCATCCAGGTCAGGAATTTCATTAGGGAAATATTTAGGGAAATATTTAGGGAATAAAGGCTGTTGGGTGATTTGATGCCTATACATGCAGGTCTGAACAGGGCCATATACAGCTGGAAATTGTTAGTAAAGATTGCATTTGTTGCGGCACAGTTACCTGTCCATGCAGAAGCTGCTGCAGTCGGAGTCAGTGTGCAGTGAACACACACACCGCTGGGCCTCCGTCCACCTCCCCTGCTGCTCAGTCCCAGCAGAGCGCCTCGCACGCAGGGAGCCCTGGTAACTGGACATACCATATGGTACAGTATGCCTAAAAAAAAAAGAAGACACACACATACACAGTGTGTTGAGTGACTTATCAGTTTTCCAGTCACACCTGTACTAATGCAATCTGCAGTCACCCAGAGCTTTGAACTGCCTTGTTCATTTTTAACATCATCAGAGATTTTTTTTTTTAAAGATTTTCAAAGGTTGTAGATGGGGTGGTGTTATTATACTGAGAGGTGTTTCCAATATTTTCTCCTCCACCATTTGGATACAACATGGGGAAAGACTATAGGAAACACATTTCAGTATAATGCAGTCCAGTAAAACACCATCAAAGACTGCAGCTTCTACAATGACCACATTTAACCTCAACAACAATTCAACAAGAGCATCGCAACGGTGTTCATTACAGAACTGCTGAACTAGTGAGAAACTAGTAAGTCATTACATTAATCTATATCAAGTAATCAAATCAACATTCCCTTTTACACAAGGCTACTTTGACATACATGACGCGAAAAGGTTTTAAAGTTATTTGTTTGTATATGAACCTTCCTTTGGCACAGTATATTCAAGTATTGCTGTGTAAATATTATAAAACAACTAGAATCACCTCCTTGTTGTTGTCTGCATCCGCCACTTACACTAGTTTCAGGTTACATCCTTGTTTATCCAGTCATAGAAAATATGAACCACTTGGGTGAATTTTCATCATAATTGCTGTGTGACGTCTTGAGTTATGGCTAAGAAGTGTTTTGCACCGTGACTGTGACCATGACCATGACCTTTTACCACCAAAATCTAATCAGTTCATCCTTGAGTCCAAGTGAATGAGACATCGTGTCCTCGAGAACGGGATCTCTGTATGGACAACCCAAAAACTGTATGCCTGAGGCTCTGGCTGTCGCCAGCCCGGAGGAATAACAAACAATAAAGTGTAAGTGAATCACAAACAGCCACTACAGTCAACTTAGATGGAATGACATACATTATAAAAATACATTTTCTTTTCATATTGAGAGCCAGCATTATTATCACTCAAGATGAGGCTTGGTGATAAAAACAACTCTCTGTCAACAGCTCCCTCTGAGCTGCCTCATCTGCATGCAACTCTCATCTCTTTGCATCTCTTTCTATTCGCATTTTTGCACCATGTGCACTGTGCAGGACGTGGAATACCAAAGAACACTTCATGAAAAACACAGAGGCAATAGTATTACAAAATGTCAGCACTGAACAATGTGACTGAACAACTTTCATGCATGTTTTCAAGCAAAGGTATAAATGGTCAAGTGTAAAATGGACCTCCGGTGGCTTCAACTCCTAAATGTTGGAGAGGATGTTCAGGTTTCCTTATTGTGACCACGGCGACAGAGAGAAATGCTACAGCGACAAGTTATTTAACAGCACAGGTCCAAGGATAATTCCAGTTTATTACAACTTATTTTCATATTTTTTGGCAATCGTTTTTATCGGTTATGATAGTGCTAACACATGATCGGGGAACGTATCGCACTGGTCGAACAGTCAGTTTAAAACAGTTCAGTTCAGACAGGCCCTGTTCAGACCTGCATTAACATGAGTCTTCAGTTCAGCTCACACCTGCTTTAAAATGTGTCTCAGTGATCAGATCTCACTTCCTGCTTTCTATGCAAATAAACAGGTATGTGTTGTTTTTTTTTAGCCAATCAGACGGACGGGTCCGTTGTCAATGTGCTCGTGTGTGTGTGAGAGAGAGAGAGAGAGAGTGGTCTGGAGGGGTTGAGTGGATCGATGCTCGGCTCACAGCTCTACAGTGAAATAAAGTTTTATCCATTTGAAATGGTAAAATATTCTGGGCTCATTATGAAACTGTGTTGGGACTAAACAGACTGTGACAGAGGAACGTGAGTAGAGTAGTAAGTCCTTCAGTGTGGCCCAGGACACATTTGCTAAAAGAATGTGGACACGTGGTCCAGAGTCCAGACGACCTCTGAATGTGGTCTGAGTGATCGGATCTCAAATGCGTCGTCAATGCGTCTCGGGTACGTTCACACCTGAACTGAGAGCTGACCGCTTGTGATCACCTGAGACAGATGTTAATACGAGGTCTGAGCAGGGCCATAGATTGAAGCAAACCAAAAATGGTGCAATAATTTAGTCAGTCAGTACACTGTGATGGATGCTTACAAAAAGTTTTAATGTTCTCTTTCCTTTTCTCTCTCAAGCAAGTTTAACTAACTTTGGAGTTTGTTTAAAACTTATCAAATTGCCTGACTGACCTGGACTGTGTCATAGCGATGTTGCCGTCTTCCCAAATCTCATCAGTTTACCTGACGAGTTATTACTGGAAGGAACGATCGCCGAAACCACGAAAACAAGCAACAAGTTGTAACAAACCAGAGTTTTCCTGTAATGTCAGACAAGCAGCCTGAGATTTGCTTAACTGCTCTCACTCTCATGGTGAGCTGATCACACTGACCCTGCCCTCTAGTCTCGATATCTTCTCCCCACATGGCTGTAAACTGCTGTAAACAGTCTTGAACAACAGGAGGCCACGATGATGTCGGAATATCCTCTGGTTGACCCTGAGTACCAAGCTACGTGACCTCGCCTCCTCTCCCCTTACAAACAGACTCAGCTAGGTGCCGACCCTTTCTCTTTTCAAATCTTTGATTCTCTGATCCCAGACTTCCTGAGGAGGCGAGTGTCTGCCCCCGAAGGGACTAAGCTTTTCTTTTCAAGAGTAACTGCATGTCAGATACACCGCCTAATTTTTCTCAAGGTCAGGTACAATCATCCCACATGGCCTCCACACCGAAGGCAGAGCGCAGCAGTGAGGAAGACCACATGGCAAGGAAGCTGCCTGAAAAAATGCAACAGAAATTCAATAAACTTTCTGTATGCTGGGAATCCTGAATAACAATAAACAGACAGAGAGAATGAATAGATATATCAGATCATTTTAACATGTGTCCCGGGGGATCAAAGTGAATTTAGGGAAACAATGCGATGTGATCCTCTTACATTAGCTCTGTTTTGAGCACACTGCTCTGCTTTGAGGGGATTAGAAGATTTTGAAGCAGATTCACAAAGGATGTCTGGCTGTGCTTTGATTTGTCAGTGTCTGAGTAACCACGACAGTCCATCCATCTTCTGAACTTGTACTTGGCTCACATGCTTCATATGTTTTTACCAATCAAAATAGCTGTAACTTAAAGGGGCACTCCACTGATTTTACACATTAAAGTGATAGTTGGGGTTATTTGATGTAGAGTTGCGTGAGGTACTTAGACATAGTCAGTAGTACGTAGGCATACAGGTCAGTGCGCTCTTGGTTTGGAAAAAACAGACAACAGCACTGAAACAGAAGCTGAGCTGAGCTTTTTTTTAGCCACTTAAAAAAAGGCCAATATCAGTTTGAATGTTCGCTTTATTTTGAATATTTTCACCACTTCCTCCTGCTGTCAAACAGCCCTTTCCTTTGGAACTACATTCTCTCAGGCATTGAACCAGAGCTGAATTATTAATTGAAATGTGTCACACTGTTGTGCTTTGTTAGCATCATATGTGTTGTGTTGCTACAGAGACACCCCTAACAACAAATCATATTCTCCAAACATAAAGGAACATGTTTGTTTGGTACAAGACCAACAAAATCACACTATCATCATTTTTATATTATATTCATATTTTATATTTATATTTTTTTCAGTGTAAATTAAATGCAATAACGGCCATCACAACTGAAATCACCACACCTGCCAAAATAATCACAATAGGACTTTTTTTTTGCATATCATGCAGCCCAGCATTGAACTACTGTTTCCTACGCACAAATATACTTTGCTCTTTCTGACTCAAACAACTGATCGGCTGTGTAACACAGTGTGCGCTGTAGCTGATCTGGATCTACTAGGGGTAATACACTGACTAAAGATAAGTACTTTAAGTTTGGTTGACTCAGTTAGTTATTCTCAACCTGGGAAAACTGTGGTGGCTTCGTGGCTCTGGAGGAGCGGAAGTCTGGTTTCATCAGTTGGCTTGTTTACACTTCAGAAGAATGTGGCTGAGGTCTACTTTATGTTTCCGTGTTTCCGACGGTCAGAGCCGGAGGAATATTGTTTTCGGGTTGTCCATCAGTCTATCCTGTTTTCGTGGCCGAGATATCCCAGTAACATCTTGACAGAACTTCTTCAGATTTTGTACAAACATTCACTCAGACTCAAAGATGAACAAGGAATTAGATTAGATTTTTGTGTTCAAAGGTCAAAGGTCAAGCTCAGTGTGACCTCACAAAACACTTCTTAGCCATTACTCAAGACTTCACACGGCAATTATGACAAAACTTCACGCAAATGTTTCATATTTTCTCTGACTCTGGATAAACAGGGATGTAACCTGAAACTAGTCTGAGTGGAGGAGGCAGAGGACCACCAGGAGGTGATTCTAGTTTGATTTCTCCCTCATCATCTACCTCCTGATGCGATGGAGGTGTGGGTGTGGGTCAATTTAACTCAGAAAAAAAACATTTCTCTCAAAATATTTTTGTATAAGCTAAATATGTTTTTGGAGAAGCCTGATTCAGTCTACATCATGTTTTGTAGAACATATCAGCAAAATGTCAAAGTGACTGTAATTCTTTTTTCAATATCTGCTCATGGCAACTAAAGCATCATTAAAGCTACACTAATCAAGAGTGAATAAGATGTTGTGTTATTCAAAAAGGGGGTCTCTTTTTTTCTTACAAACCCGCAGAATAAGAATTATGCTGCAGCTCTGCAGTTCCTCTCAGCTCTATGCAGTGTTCTAGTTTGTTTCAGCTCATTGTTCTGGTTTTACAGCCTGCAACTTTGTCGCTCTCATCAACATTGTTTCCATATGCAGCATGCAGCTGTTTTTCGTGAAAAAGCTCAGTTAGATGTCCTGTCCACTACCAGACCTGCACCAGACAGCGCAGAGAAAAAGTTAGCAACTAGCTGGTGAACATAGTAGAACATCTGGTAGTTAAAAAGTGAGCTATTTCCTTTGAGGGTTGAAGGGGGGTTAATGCTTCTTTGTGTCTTCTATGTTTGATCTTGTAAAGTAATGTTCACAGATGATTCTAAAGTTTGTAGTAATAAATCTACCACTGCAGACCTCTAAAATAAATCTGGATGTAGAAAAGATTTGTATTTTTAACAAAAACAACAACAACAGAAAAACAACTGTGAATAAAATTTGTGAACAAATGATATCAGTGGTGAGGTTACACAGAGACACTGTGAAAGAAGAAGTGCTTTTGTGAACATCTGTGTAAAGACACAAAGCAGAAAACTGTGTGTAAAACTCGCTCAAGTGCTCAAAGTTACAAGTACGAATTTTCACCTTGTTTTTAAACCTGAATCTGATTGGCCAATGGCAATCCAATAACACAGCAGAGTAAAGTAACAGTGTGTCCCCTAGGTTGACTGCTTTGCTCTGTGTACGTGGGGAGGGGCTAAGACACACATGGTGCAACATGAAGCAGAAGAGAGGAGGGAAATGCGACAGAGAGCGTCTCACACTGAGCTGAGGTGAAATGAGTGCGAATATAAAACATTTAATTTTTTTTCTTTAGGTTCCCCCCGCCCATGAACAAGTGCAAAAGTGAACAGGAACAGGTGCAGAGTGTTGCTAATGAGTGGGGTCGCCCTGTGTTGACAAGTAGATTTTAAACCTTTCATAAAGGTGAAGTGGAAAAATCTACTATTTTGGTTTCATTCTGAGTCTAAGCAGGAGCTGTCAACCTTCTGTGTCCCATTAGCCAATATTTGCAATAATGCACACCAAATGACTTCAGAAGAAACACTTTCCTGCTGCAGCTTGATTTACTCCACATGCTTTAACCCCTAGGTACAAAAGACAGATAAATCTAGACCGTTGCACCCGGCCAATTTTCAGCTTCATCTGTAAGGTGTTACTGCAGGACCCTCTCAGGACGCAGGGTCTTTGATCTGATCACCGATGTCTCCTGTTGGTCCGATGGTATAAGGTGCATGGGTTTTTTAAAGAGAGTAATCCGCACTAAAACTTTATTCTGTGTCAGAAACATCACTAAATGGCTTCAGTTTTGTTAGTGGAATTAACCCTGCACCAATTCTTTTTACTTTTTCCACCGAAGTTCTTCATGTGCTTGAAGGAGAATAAATCAGTTGCTGCACTGCTCCCTGCAGGCTGAAAATCTGGTACCGCTTTACAATAAGAACACCCTTATAAAGGATTTATAAATAGTTTATAATTAAGTTATTAATTTCGTTGGCTTTATAAATCATAAATAAACAAATAAATAAATAAACAAGTTTTGACACAGTTTTCATAGACCGATGCAGGCTCACTGTATATGGCAAGATCAAGTTAATGCTTATTATTCATTAATCTTACTAACGACTTACTACCATTTATAACTGGTAAAAGGAGCCTTATTGTAAAGTGTAAAACACATCATCATTTATTAACTAGTGACTAGTATTTATAACCAGTAACTCATTAATAAATGTTAATGTGTTTTAACCTTTTACCAGTTATAAATGTTTGTAACTGATGACTAAATGGGTGTAAACATGAGAAGAAGAAACACTGTAGCTGTTATCAGACGTCTTGTTTAAATTTAAATTTGGCAGCAGAGAAACAGGAGTTATATAAATTCGCTGAGTCCTTTGTGTCTAAATTTCAAAGCGTAACTCAGTAACAACCAAAACTTCTCAGATAGCCAAAAGGTAGAGCCCTCCCTGCTGACTGTTAGCCACTGTCAGAAATCTTCAGTGGAATTAAAATACCTGAGAGCTCAGAGTCTAAACCGCCTAAGATTACAGCAAATTTTTACAGTCCACAAAAAGTCCAAGGAAATACTGACACATAAGCCTGCATGGTTTTCCAGCTCCCTTTCATGATTCTTCTCGGGGCTTTCTGTTCTACATAACTCACATACTTGTGCCTGCTACAGTATACCTGCAACGGTGTGATAACAGCTTACCAGCACATACAATGCTCAAATAAGAGTCTCAGTTGGAAGGCCTGTGATTGAAGACTGTGAGTTGTGAATACAGAGAGATCATGACATGACACTATATAGGCTCCTTTATACTTTAAAATGACACTGATGTAAGTACAGGGATAATACTGTAATATCATGTACTGTAGGACAGTGATGTCACTATAAACAATGAGCAGAACAGATACTGTAAGTCCCTGTTGGAGCAGTGTCTCAGGGTCAGGGACATATAAGGATTTTCAACAGGCCAATCTTACAATACACAAAATAAGAATATTCTTTGCAATTGTTCAAATATTACAAATGTTGTGTACATGTAAATTCATATTAAAATTTTAATTGAAGCAATTTTTGTGTTTTTTCGCCAGGCCCTTAATAAATGTCATGTGGTGCGACCGTGATTTATCTTAAAACTGTTTAATTTCCTTAACATGCTTAACATTTTTTTTTACAGGTTCTCAGTAATATAAAGCGTTTTTGTAAGTAATGATCTTATATTGTTGTTGTACAATGTCACAGTCGCCATCTTAAATACACTGAACAGACTTATTTTTCCTATATCTTCCTGTATCAGTGATTAATATTTTGGCCACAGAAATGAGATATTTTATTCTGAATTTAATTTAGTTATTAGTGCCACGGGTGCTCAGCTCCAAGGCACTCCTCTACAGCTAGAATAGCTGAGAGGAGTGCCTCGGGGCGGTGCCTCGGGTTTATTATTCTTCCACAAAATTTTGGCGCGTAACTCGTCCCGCACCTTTGAGAAAACCCCAGTAATATATATATCAAAACGTGCGTCTTGATCCCGAAAGGGGTGCTATGACTTTTGGTGTTAAAATTCCAATTTTTCCCAAAGTTATTCCCAAAAAACTGGGAATAAATAATGCATTAGGAATGCATTGGAATTTTCTTTAGAAACCCACAAAATTTCACCTTTTTTCTACAAAATTTCCCCTTTTTTCTGAGTCACCCTGCTCTCTCATACCTGCACGTAGAAATGTGATTCAAACTATAAAACGGAGGAAAACTTCTGCTCTCTCAAAAACATAGGAACTGTTTTTACATAACATGTAAACTTTTCAAACTATGACCACTCAAAGGAGGAGTGCAAATCACTTTTTCTTCAAAGTTAGAGTGAAAGCGTCAGTTGGCTAGAGTGCGTGAAGCAGTAAAAAATAACCTTTATTTTTATTTTTAACTCGAGCTCACGGCCAAACCGTAAAAAGGAGACAAATAATTCTTTCTGAAAATGTAGACATAGTTGTTGGGATTCATAAAATGTAACTTTGACAGGCAGGGTCTGCACAAAATTTAAACGGGGGTGCCGAGTCCGGCAGCAATACCTGTCTCACTCTCATTGACACCTAATGTAATCGTCTTTTTTTTTCAAAAGAATCTCACTCTGTCTTCGCACTGAGCTTACTCACTCATTTTAAGGAATATCTGAATAAAATAGAGACTGTAAGAAACTTCTGGCTTCAGTGTCTGTCACGGTGTTTTCGGTTTTTGAAAAGAAGTAACGGTTTTCTCATAATTTGCAATTGTTTGAAGCCATGTAGAAGCCAAATTCTGGGCAGATTTTCACATTGCCATGGCAACGGCAGCTCCTGACCTGTGTGCGTGTGTGCGTGCCTAGCAACCAGATAACCAACTCTCCAAGCTCCGCTAGCTTTACATTAGCCGCATGTTAGGTCTTAAATTACATTTAGTTAGGTCTTAAATATGTAAGTCCATTTACTGCTTCCTTTGTTGCTTTTCTTTTTGTTTTGTTAAATGAGTGAATGAAGTTGTGACGGTCTCCGCTGAGACAGAGGAGAGGAGAAGCTACTAGCCCTCTCTCGCTGTCACTTCTAGTCGCGTTGCTCTCCTCCCCAGTAATGTTAAATTTAGCACCGAAAAAAACATAATAGTGGTAATTTAAATAGCGGTTCATGGGATTTATTAACCCTCAGGGGTCCCTCTGTCCTTTTTTGGACATTTTCTTCACTTTTCTTTTTTGATTTGCTGATCATTTTGGCTGTGTTACAGCTGAAGGTATGGATTTCTGCAAGAAAGTGTCTTTTTTGACATATTTTTAAAATCTAATGTCAGTTACTGTTACAGGTCTATTATACACTGGTAACACATTTTGTACCCTCTGGGGTTCCTCGCGTCCAAAAAAGGACACACAAAGAAAATGCTATAAAATCATCATATATCAATATTTTTTTCTGCTTTTTTTTGCATACATCTCTTAAACCACTTCAGTTCTGCTCAAACCTACCAAATGTTTATTAGTTTTCAGGATTTTAACCCTTTAAATGCCAGTTTGAAGACATATTGCCTCTTGTTTTATAAAAAAAAAACAACAACACAGAATATGAGATATTTCCCACATAATACATGATGGAGGGATGTGACATTGTTTTATATCAGAGTCTTTTATATCAAGACATTTCTCAAAACCAGAATATGATCAGGGTGGCTTTTGAACACTGGAAATAAATCATGTACTCATCCCGGCAGTAGCCCCCGTGGCACTCAAAATTTCCCTGGAATTTTCTAGTTGCTATTATTGGTTTCACCATATGATATTTTCACACATTAAATTACAAAGGTTTGAGAAAAGTAAAGTAAAGTGAGTACATATCTGGTAGAGTTACTATATATATATATATATATATATATATATATAACCAGAGGGTGTGAGGAGAATGACTTACTCTGGTGTGTTGATCCAGATGATGTCGAGGTGGCAGTAATACACACACTCCTTGTCTCTGTAAGTGTAACATGTGCATCTCTTCGCCCGCTTCCTGGCCCCCGGCTGGTCACAGGTGGAGCAGAGTTTCGCCTCACTGTTGGAAGCGACACCAGCGAGGTCGTCCACAGCGCTGGGCGGGAGCGTGCTCACCTCTCTCCTCTGGCTCACATCTTTGCTTGATGAAGAACCTGCAGGATCACAGCAATCCATGAGACCTGCACTTTCTGTTACAGTTATGACGGTTATGTCGTTTTTATAACGAGACAAATTAAGAACTTTTTTTTTTGTAGAATTAAGATTCATAGCAGTATGTAGTAGTTTTGTGTACAAGTAAAGTTGATTTGTCAGTTAGTCCACTAATTGACTGTAAATTAATTATTTCATGACAGTTCTAACAGGGTAGTGTCACTCCCAAATCATCATGCTTGGTCAGACCCCTTGCTTCATTTTTCAACATGCAGTGTTGGCTGACAGACTTCCAGTGTTCTCTGCTGCCTTGAATTTTGACACGAGGAAAGTAGACTGCTGCCCGTTGTCTTCTGATGTATATGAAACTGCATTATGGTTTTAAAGTCCAGTGTACGTTTTCTGCATTAAATCACATCACAATAGGTGCATTTGTCATCCACTTCGCCTGATCAAATGAGGAAATTAGCTCTAGAAACCAAAACAGTTTTTGTACCAGACTGTAAACATGTTTATTTCTGCTGTAAAGTTGGATATTTTAACACGGGAGTCTATGGGGATTGACTCACTGTTGGAGCAGACTCTAGTGGCCATTAGAGGAACTGCAGTTTTTGGTTCTTCAGTGTTGGCTTCAGCCCCAGAGGTTGCTGCTTTATTTTGACACACATTTAATTCAATAGAAGCATGTTTTGTGAAAACATTGAGAGCGATGAGTTAAGGTGTATGGGGGAAAAGTCACACATGGAATACCTGAGCAACACTTTCAGAGTTTGTGTTTTATTGAGAACCATAGATTTAAGAATACTATTAAAAAAAAAAAAAAAATTTTTAAAGCGCCAGAACAATGCCAGGAGGTGGAGTGGAAAAGAAATCTAAAGAATAAAAATATAATGTTTCTGGGCATTACTTTTTTTATAATAATAAACTCCTGAACTAAATTGTTTTTACAGCTTTGCTGGTGGAAAACAAAACTCTAGTATTGGTGACCTAATGTAAGGAGGAGAATAAATTGCATCCATTTTTTCAGAGAGAACCATAAAAAATAAGAATCTGAGGTTCTTAGAATAAAAAAGTAGAACATGTTTAAGGACACAAGGACAAAGTTCAGTAATTGCCTCTCCATGTTGAACAATGGCGCCAAAGAGCATCTGCATCTAGCCTATGTGACAAGTTGGTGTTGATTTCAAATATGGACTCATTGTTTTGAGTATTTTCAGCAGCAAAGATACAAAACATTTACTGGTCTCCACTCGATTGTGATGCTTTGTGTATATTCTCTGTTACATATTGTATAATAGTAACCTCTGGATCTATCCTTACATTGGCTTGACTCAATGATTAATCAACTATTTAAAAAAAAGTAGCTGGATAAATGCAGAATGAAAATAATAGTCAGTTGCAGCAGCAATTCTAACACCTAACAGCCTTTCACAATTTCACAGTTACATGATGAGTTTATAATATGCCAGAGTGAATTGTGATCTTACAGTGTCATATACTCTTGAGTCCTCAAGACAATTTGCACAGTGCCCTGCAGCATTGTGTTATGGAACTGCAATTTTTTTTTATTGCACATGACTGACTGACTGACTGACTGACTGACTGATAACTGTTTTGATGCACCTGGTTCTTCATCACATCAGCTATTCCACCTTTGTGTCATCATTATGAACACAACTTGTCTATGTGAACATTATTTACGTAAAGACCCACAATAAAAACGAGCACACACTCTAACAGTACTACTCACCGTTTGCCAAAGACGCTGTCACCACTATGAGAAACAAAACTCCCACATCAACCGATGACACATTAGCCATCACACGTGAGGCATTAGAAATGTAAAAATTGGAAATGGGTAAAAAAAAAAGAGTTGATATGTGGATTAAAACCTCCAAGTACAAAGTGTAGCTGGTCTGCTACTGTGTATCTCTGTGAAGTCAGAAGTCTTATTCTGCGAGGCGCTGCTGACAGCCTGTAGAGCTGCGCTGCTGCTGCCGCTCTGTGTTTTCTCCCCTTAAACAAACTCCGCTTTATTATGAGATGATAGCTCTGCGGGTAGTGGGCCGTAATATCACCAGCTTCCTGGTGCAGTTTTCAAAATAAAAGTCGTCTGATCAAACGCCAATGAGAAACGTGAATCAATCAATGTTACCCAAAATATTTAAAAAACGACTTTGTAATTAAATACATATATATGCATGTGATGTATGGGCAATGATAGGGGGTACTGCCTAATTTCACTGTCCTACTTCGTCTAATATTATGAGCACGTTCTTCAATGTAAATTGAACAAGGAAGTCAAAACAGAGACGGCTCACCTTCAAAGTAAAAGTTATCATTATTATGAACAAGTGTGCTGGCTGAGAGCTCAACTACATAACGAGCACAATTCATAACATTTCTTCCGCTTTCCCACAACTGATTAGGAATAATTTGCCAATGAACACTGTGATTAATGTATAATGATGATGATGATGATGATGATGATGATGATGATGATGATGATGATGATGATGATGATGATGATAATAATAATAATAACTACATTTATATAGCACCTTTAAAAACAGAGTTTACAAAGTGCTTTGACAATTGAATCAAAAGCAATGATGGTCAAAAGCAGGACAGAAATAAGGTAGAGTTACAGAGGGAGAACAAACAATATAATTCAATATTTCTAAGGACATTTAGAGGGAGCAGATGCTGTATAAAAACACACACACATGCACAGTGTATGTAATGATTCATTTATATATTCATCATTCTATTTGATTAATTAATGTTATTTAATCTGTTACTGTGGGTGACCATCAAAGGCTGTATATAGAGTTGTGACCTCTGATGAGTCTGACTGGTAGAAAGAGTTGATTTGACATGAATGCTTTGACTTCAGTGCTGGCTGTGATGTCATGGCAATAACGCCGCTAAGCTATCCAATGTAAGAATCCCTCAAGTTTTCTCTCTTGACTAGGCTACATACAGTATGTGTAGCCTGTATATTATATGCTAAATGGACAGCACTTACACATGCACACAGCACTTTTACTATCACACTCAAACACCTTCATGCACTGATGATACATAGGGGACAATTTGGAGTTCAATATCTTGCCCAAGGCCACTTCGACATGCGGAGTGGAGGAGCCACTGATCTTCTGGATGATGGCTGTACTCTTCAGATCATCCGTATCGGCTGGGGTTGGTGAGTTGTGGACGATGCTGCAGGATCATTGTAAAGTGATGTGATACTTGTTCCAGGCTTAGAGACAGGAAAGAAAAACATACCTTTTAGTGAAGAGAAGTGAAAAATGTTTTCCTTGAGTAAATGACAACAATGTGAAAATAAACAAGATGTAACATTCATCAAAGTACAGAAATGTGTCATGCAGTAAATTATGGAGTATAGCCGACCACTGGAATGACTTTTAATGTCTCTATGCTGGACAAAATGAAAAATATATGCAGGACATCTAACTTGAATTCACTTTCCAAATATCTCCATAGATCTCATTCTACACCATCAACAAAGAACACAGTGACATTTCAACCCATTTACCAGCATCTAACAATGTTCAGTAAGATAGGTAAACATATTTACCCCTGACCTTTTTCAAACATTTTGTTGTCATTTAATTTTAAAATTCACTTATTAGTCATATAAAAATATACAGAATAAGGATAATTCTTAATTTGATGATCTATTTATTTTTTACTTTCTAGTGGCATACTCAAGGTTTCGCATTTCCTGAATAGGAGGGGTGTATATATGAAAAATACCCCCAGTCTTCTCTCCAGTACACTTCGACAGAGAGGACACTCGTTACCAATGCAGCCACTGATTTGAGCTTGGAACTGATGATTGATAACAGAGGTCAGTCTTTCTGCCAGTAAACATGCCAAACTCTGAGTTCCGCATAGACAGAGGAGAACTAAAACACATTTTGAACAATCAATCTACCAAATATTAAACTCTAATATTAAAGCATTAAATTCAGAGAAATGAAAAGTAAAGCTGAATTGATTTCACATTTTGGCCACTTGGTGGCAGCAGGGCAAGTTGAAAACACATCCTACATTATCACCTAGACTGAAGGCATCTTCCACATCAAACAGACATTTATGTGGAGTGGTGTTTCAATTCAAGTGCAATATTCCCTCTCCTTTTAGAAATGACTGACTAATGGGAACCGGAATTTATTTTTCTAAGGAAAGCAAGAAAAACAGTTCATTCTTTTAGTATTCATGTGGCATTTTCTAACAGTAAAGACTTATTTTCTCCCTGGGGATTGCTTAGCGAGAGTGGATGAAATCAACTTCAAACTGTGCTTTGAATTTTGGACCTCAAGTTCAGCTTGTCAGCAAGTTTCCGGTTGGCCCTGTGTAAACGCCACCGTATAAAATCAAGTTTAAAGATTCTCAGCCAGAGTTACTGTGGAGCTGGATGGTATTATGACAGAAAACACACAGGCATAATGATGTCTGGAGAGCAGTGCTGAATGGGTTGTAGAAGAATGTGTTTCACAAGTTACCTTGAAAAGCACAGGAAGGCATGGTCTGCAACTAGAGCCCACATTCCACATAGATCCATAGGGAAAATAATCTTACCAAAGCACTCAACACAGCATGGGCCTGTCAGACCTGCCCACCACCTGTCCATTGTTCTATGACCCTGTGGAGTCAGCAGTTAGAAAATGTATGGCCTTGACCTCAGCGATCAGTACTTGATTGAACTAAAGCCACATTTACAGTTGCATTAGATACAGGAACATATAATAAACTGTACATGCAGTCACACTGAGGCTCATACAGAAACACTGATTACTAGGTGTCACAGTATTTATCTTGCTGAGACGTGAAAAGTCCTGAAATGTTTTGATGTGACAGCTGTGTAAAGCTGAGATCCATCAACTTTTCAAAATGAGTCACATGACTCACTGAATGGACCTTAACTCCAAGCTCATGGTCAATGACAAAGCACTGTTGGTTAAACTCTATTGGATTGCAGTATATCATGCAGTATATGTTAATCTTGAGATGTATTCAGATACATCCTGAACTGTAATGTCTCGTCTCGTCTCGTCGTCTCCCGCTTATCCGGATCCGGGTCGCGGGGGCAGCAGCCTCAGCAGAGAGGTCCAGACGGCCCTCTCCCCAGCCACTTCCACCAGTTCCTCCGGGAGAATCCCGAGGCGTTCCAAGGCCAGCTGCGAGATATAATCCCTCCAGCGTGTCCTTGGTCGGCCTCGAGGCCTCCTCCCGGTGGGACATGCCTGAAACACCTCCCCGGGGAGGCGTCCAGGAGGCATCCTAACCAGATGCCCGAACCACCTCAACTGGCTCCTCTCGACATGGAGGAGTAATGACCATGACTATGACTATGTGTAATATGACAGGACTCACTCGTAGTGACAAACCCACAGAGAATTTACCTACAATATTTCACTGGTCTTTATGGAACATTACTATTTTTACTATATTACATTTTGCAACCTTCATGATCTTAGCAAAGTTGATTTCATTTGTTAGCATACAAAAAAACTACAGCTTCCATGAAATTTGACCTAATAACTATTATTACTATCATTATTATCATTATCATTATTATTATTATTGTTACTATTATTATCATTATTTTTACTAATGAGCTACAGGGCACCTGAATTTCCCCTAGGGAATAAATAAAGTACCCACCTATCTATCTATCTATCTATCTATCTATCTATCTATCTATCTATCTATCTATCTATCTATCTATCTATCTATCTATCTATCTATCTAAGTTTTATTTATACAGCACTTTTCTTAACAAAGTTACAAAGTGCTTCACAAAAAAATAAAACCACATAAAAGAAAAGGTCAAAGAACGTGATCATAGTATTAACATTATGCCAAAGGATCTGACTGTATATGTTTTCCAGCTCTTTAGCTATTATATCTGACGTTTAAAATTTCTACAGTGTCCAGCCAGGTGTGTTTTTATAGGCATGTCTGGACTAACCAAGGCCACTGGACTTGGTCAGCTGTTGGGAAATTGAGCTCATTAAAGGCCACTGAAAACAGGAAAATGAAAAAACGTTTAATATTCTTTTTAATTACCACACCTGTTCTGAAAAATAGAGTGAAATAGACAATGTCATGTTGAGTAAGGTTATGTTGTAGGTTTGAATTTTTGGTTTTCTTACAACTGGAACAGAACAAGTTTCAATATTGTTTCCTGCAAGGTGATAACATGTCTGTGGTGGTCTGTGGTCACCTTCTAATGCAACATTTATTTTCTTCTTTAAAACAATTGATTTACATCAACGCTTCAGACATCACATCTAATGTTGCTGCACCCTGCTGTGCCAGGGGATTTAACCAGCAACTTTCCAGTCATATTGTAGCCTGACTCTTGTTGCTCATTTCTCTAAGGAAAATTATTTTTTACTCATGATTACAAGATTTTAGGTTAGGTTTAGGCAAGATACATAAATTGGTCTTTTTTCTTTAAATCCACTGAAATTCTGTGATATCATAGAGTAATAAGCAAGAGGACACTAAGCCATTTTAATGGAATACGCTGAATAAAGGGTGTCAGTGATTGCACTTCAGCACAGGCCATATACGTCAATAGATTTTGTCCTGACTCTTATCCGTCTTCCTGAGTCAGATCCTGTCTTCATTCATCTCAGGATGTGATGAATAACATTAAAGTTATTTTAACTGCTGAGCAGCAGTAGTTAGTCAGTATAAGAAATGAAGAATTTGCAGCACAGGCGTTAATCACTCAGATTTTGGGCCATGATCAACAACTTTTTAAAAGGGACATATTGCGCAATACACAGTGTAAGCGGTTTTGAAGCTCAGAGTGAGCTGCTCAGAGTGAGCTGCTCCACTGTCGCCATCTTGGCAGTACCTGACTTCACCCCTAAGAGGACAAAGAGGTGGGGTGTGTTTGTGGAGCTGAGACTTCAGTGCATACTGGCTTGTGGAAAGCATATGCTCACCTACCTGTCACCCAGGTCACGCCCTCAATTCAAGTCTTAATAAAATGTAAACAGGTGAGTTATATAAAGAGTTGTCATGAGGGAGGAAATTAGCTCTAGACACCAAAACAGTTTTTGTACCAGGCTGTAAACATGTTTATTTCTGCTGTAAAGTTGGACATTTTAACATGGGAGTCTATGGGGATTGACTCACTGTTGGAGCCAGACTCTAGTGGTTGAGCTTCTGTTGGCTTCATTTTTTAGCGTCAGAGGTTGCCGCTTGGTTTGCACATGCTCATTCCATTGAGGATAATCCTGGGATCTCTGACGGTTGACTAGCTATAGCTAGCCACAGACAAGTGTGCTTGACTTAGACCAATTATAATATTGCACGCATTATTTACACGTGCAGATCCCTGTGGAAACATATACATGAGATGATGATTTCAACAGTCTTTTCTTCCTGTTTAGAGGCATCAGTAGCAAGTCAGTAAATTACACTGATTTATCGTCTCAAATTGATATAAATTGTCTTGCAAATCACCTTGGTTAACATTTGTAAGGACAAGGAGTTAGGGTGTATTGTGGAGCAGCTTTTAATAACTCATTTTGAAAGGAAAGTTTTTATAGACATATTTAATCAATTTACATATTTACAGTTAACCATGTAATATTACACCCAAGCTTTTTAATTCTGTTCTGCTTTATAGCCAGTGGGTTCTTCAGCTCTGCTTGTCACCGCTTTCTGAAAACCTCGGCTGATTTATCTCCTCATCTTTTCAACTCAGTCAACTTAAGCAGCTTTGGTATGTAATATGTTTTTGATATTATCGGTCCTAAAAGCCTCAAATAACATTAAGGTGATACTCACACTGGGATGCATTCAGGGTAGCCTTTTCATATTCAGCACAGTCTCGCTCAGTCGATCAGATTAAAGGTAAAGTAACAAGAGCGGAGAAAACTGCTCCAAATATATATTGAGACAAATCAAAGCCTGATGTTCTACGTCTTTTCTTTCTTTCGTTGACATATGTGTTTAGTTAAGTCGTTTTGCTTTCAACAAGTCACAGAAATCTCTGGACCTTGATCTGTTTTATAGAACAGGGTTAGGGCCTGCACAGTGTAACCAAATCCAAATCACAGTATGGCAGAAAACTTCCTGAAACTCCTCATGTATAATGTTTAAAAAAGATATAAAGGAAGATGATGATTAAATCTTTAAAATGTAAATGTATTCTACATACATGGCTTTTCATGACTGGTTACAGCTGGGCTATAGGAAAATATTTGCCTCTAAATTTAAAGCTGTACTCCTTAAGCATTTTAACACTGAATTAAATGAATGTGTGATGTAGAAGCCCATGTAGAATTTTCACTAAACTGTGCAGCTCTATGAAATATTTTAGCGTCTTGTTTATTTTTATTATACACCTATCCAGCTCTCCTCAAGTAAAACTATCACCTCACCTGAGCCCTTGATTACAACAAATAGATTATAGTGTGCATTCAAACCTAGTGATTTAAACATTTATAGATCATTGATGCAATAAAATTTGGATGCGTCAATTTGCTGGACCTCAACTGGTACTGATACTGCCTATACCCAAAGTCAACTATGAGAGGGCAACAAAACACCACTCTACAGACCATTTCAATGAAAATATTGAATATCGAAAAAAAATTTGATAATTATCAGCCAAATTTTCCAGCAGCCCGAGGAGAAAACTACCAGTGCTCTCAATGGCCAGTCCACTCTTGCTCATAGCTCTCATCAGACCCCTATCTAAACTAACTGTGTACTTCCTGTCTAATACCAAACTGCAGACAGGCAAAGATGTAAGCCTAAAACATATTAAAGCTGGGGTAGGTAGGCGGAAATCTAGAGAAGAAAAGAAAAAAAACGAGAGAATTTGAAAATACAACTACCTCCTGCAGCTCTGCCTTCACACGCAAGTGCTTCATACTAGCACGCAACACAAGCTACATAGCCACTAGCCGCGTTACCCTTTGGCTACAGTTAGCAGAACTATTAGTAACATTCAACACAGGCACTCATCACCTTCATGGTAAATCTACCTACACAAACAACCACTACAACACATTTAGATATTAGAGTAAAATGAAGTTAGCACCTGTCACCAGTCCAGGAGGTGTGTGGCAAGTTCTCTCCATCTCTGAAACACTTCTGAGATATTGACACATATTAATCTGAAGAGATGAGCATACACATCTGCATAGCAACGCTCTATCTCTGAAAAGTCCTGTGATTGGCCAAAGTCTAAAGAATATAAACAGAGCCAAGAGGAGCTGCAGATGTCGAGTTTGCTCTCAGGCCACTTGAATTCCAATATAAAGAAATCTGATAATGAATTTTTGCCCATTGATGCCAAAAACTTACTGTCTACCCCACCTTAAAGTGTAACTCCCAAGGTGCATTTTGTAAAGAAACATCCAACCACTGAGCTTAAAATTCTCTTACATGCACCACAAATAGCAAAAAGAAATTAAAAAACCTGAGAGTACAATCTCCAGCATAAAGAAATTCAGTTTTGGATTCTGGCACAATTTTGGATGAATTCAGCAACACTGCCACTGTGTATTGTTCAGAAAATCAAAGAGAAAGTGTTTTTAATTAGCTTCTGCTCTGATTTAGGTGCCTGACTGATTTGGTTTCCATAGAAACAACAACCAAAACTCATGGGCCCTCGCCCCCTAGACAAAAAAATAATTACAAACTAGAATTACTGCCTTGTGGTTGTTTCCTCCACCAAGCAGCTAAGATGCAGGAAATATGGTCACAATCTCTCCTTACTGAGTTACAGCATCACCGTGACGTTGACCTTTGACCTTTGACTTTTGACCACCAAAATCATCTAAATCAGTTTATCATTGAGTCTTAGTGAATGGTTGTGCCAAATTTGAAAAAGTTCTGTCAAGGCGTTGCTGAGATATCATTTCCACTAGAATGAGATGGACTTACATACGTACATATGGACAAGCTGAAAACAATATGTCTCTGGCTCTGTGCGGTGGCATAAAAAGTGTAGTATCTATAAGCCATCATAGACCTAGTTAGAGGTTGAACCACAAAATCAGACAAGTAAGACATTGTTTTGAGAACAGTTTAATTGGCCTCTTCTTTTGTTAAAATTGTTGAAAAACACAATATGATGTGCAATAAATTTGAGATGAATTCATTTGTTTAGTCAGTTTTGCTCACATACAATCTGTAACAAGAATATAAAATCAGAACATGAAAAGGGAAAACCTCAAATATTTGTAACATAATAATAAATCAGCTTGTAACTGTAAACAGCTGCACATGTTTGTGCCCTAGGCTTTCCTCTGTGTCAAATAGTACTATAACCAAAACAAACGGGCCTGAACAGATTCACTGCAGATAAAGCTCATTCAGCACTACTGCACACATACACCTGTCAAGACCAAAACATTTTATGACCACTAATGGGCTGAGGATTGACAAGCAAGTTAGTGTGAGCTATAGCTGTGGATCTATGTACAGAAATGTTCACATCCGCCCACTTCCTGTTCCTGTGAGCTCCGGCACTTTATCATAGCTGCTGACTCATTACAAAATCCAGACTTGGAAAGGGTCATGCCCCTCCAGTCAGTGCCTGGGTGATCTAATTGGCAGCAGAGATCAATTTGATGGGGTATTTGGCAGCATGTGTATGTGATTCACACACACAGGTGTTGTCAGGGAAGGTTAAGATAGTGTTAGAGGCTACAATTTATGAGAGAGTGAGTGTGGGAAGGCAGACACAAATTATGGCAAATAATGTGTGTGTCAGCATGTCTGAGCAGAACGGAAGTCACACATTTCCTAGGGGTAGAAGTAATCTCATTGGTATTGTTACAAATAATGCATTTGAAATGGGAAATATAAAGAAGTCATTGATTTAATTTTTGGCTGGATCACAACAGTGGGCCAGCCCTATAATCTGGAATGTTACTGACTGACTGACTGATCATATTTCCACCACTGGTCAGCGGAGTGCTATGTCACTGAGTTGGATCAAACAGGTTTTATTAGTGAATGTTTACAGCTGCAGTGTTGCCAACTTAGCTCATTGTCTCTAGATTTAGAGACTTGTTTTCAACCAGACTGGGTATAAACCTGGTTCAGGTCTGGACTGTGTATAGATGCTGACCAGGGGCTTAGGACTACACCTCTTTTTATGTGCAGTCTCCTGAGCCGCTCTGGTTTACCAGCTGCTCAGGAACTGCAGGGAAGAGGAGGAGCACTTCCAATACACTGAGCCTCTCCACCATTACAGCAAATAAACTACTTTCAATCCATGTATCATTATTACTAAAGGAGGCAGAGGAATAACTAAACATAAGACACACAGAGCAGAAAGAGCAGGAGAGAGGGAGAGTCATCAGTAACGAGGCTTCGTACTAACGACTATGACCAACTCTACATATCAAACAGAGGGAGTTAGACATAAAGACCTGCCTCTAATAAAAGTCTGTTATGTTCTGGAGTTGAAGTAAATAAAGAATAAACTATTGTGGATCCAGATGGAGGCTGTGCTCTGTGTGAGAGACTGAATAAGAAAGATAATCTGTCTCTGGCCCCAGTGGTTCACCTGATGGAGAACATGTTCTTTGGTCCTGGCTTTGAGTCCGCCCTGTGGCCCTTTTCTGCATGTCATCCTCACTCTCTGTTTCCTTCTCCCTCTCTCTCTCTATTAGTCTGTCTTTTCTAACTTTCTCTCTGATCATGTTACAGTAAATCCAGCTGAAATCACAGCTCAGGCTTTGTCTTTCATTGATGTGTTTGGTGATTTTGTCAGATGACGTCACAGTTATAAAATCAGGATTTGACCATAGGCAGACATAGGCTAGGACTAAGTTATTTTACAATTAATTTGAGTTTACACACGTGGTTCCTCAGCGCCATCCATTGAATCAACTCAGCCAATGATATTATTTCTGCCCCAGAGCAATTTTGCCTATGAAAAATATACAGCAAATAAAATTTGAAATGGCATCTGTGTATGTTCACATTTCCCCTAAAGCTCGATGATAAGCTTCCCTTCATCGTCACTACTGCTGGTGTCTTCTGAGTAGTCCTGGCAGCTTTGCACAGGCCTCACCTCACTGGTCAGACACTCAGCTGGCTGGTAGCCATGAAGCTGACCAGCCAGGAAAAAAGGCTGGTATTTGTTGGTAATGTCAGGTCTCCCAGAGTTACTGCTCTGCATTGTGTAATCATTTGGTGCATGATCCGTGGTGTCCTGCTCTGGTTCTGGGTGTGTAAAGGGCTTTGATGGCAGCCCAGTATTATTATCCAGCATGTTGTGGGTGATTCCCGCCCATCCAGCAGTAGCTCTACTGACTTGTAGAGAATGAGAAACCTGGCGGTGGTGTGTGTCTGATAAAGTTTTGACATCAGGCGAGAGATTTGGGCTTTTGTGACTACCTAATGTGGACTTACTACAACAGCTCACTGCTGTGCTGTTGTTACCTGCAGTTATGTTTCCTTGCTGAGCACTGAGGGTCTGCTTTTGGTCTTGCTTTTGGTCTTGGTGTGAAAATGTAGTTTGCTGAGGCTCAGTTCTTGATAAAGCATTTTGTGTTTCTGTTAACTGGGCCTGTGTTTTCATAAGTTGACTTGAATTTGATTCACATGTAAACAGAGTTTGTTGGTTATGAATAATGCTGCTTTCCCAGTGTTGTTGTGGGAAATAAAAGTTGTTCATTTCCAGCGGGGCTTGTGGAGAGTTGAAAGGGTTGGTCTGACTGCTGCCGCCCGGTGAACTAACGTTATCTGACATGCTGGGAGCTTGCTGAGGGCTCTGTGGAGGGTACTCAGACATTCCTGGGTGCGTCTGGGAAAGATGCTGAAGATGCTGCTCAGATAGCCACGAGTTTTTAAAGGAATCCGCCCTGACCAGTCTGTCTTCTCCCTGTTAATAAAAGAAGAATATTAACTTCAGACATCACCATAATACAGTCATTGTGCTTCCTTCGCTTTTCATTAGCATCCCACATTGCACAAATACCACAAAGCTCAGTGTGTTCAGTGAGGTATGATCATCACAGGAAACATATCAAATTGATGGAGCATTCAGTTGTTACAACTGAATCCTGAACTGCCCCTAGGGGATAAATAAAGTACCCACCAATCTATCTATCTATCTATCTATCTATCTATCTATCTATCTATCTATCTATCTATCAGTCTATCAAGGTTTTATTTATACAGCACTTTTCAACAAAGTGCTTCACAAAAAAATAAAACCACATAAAAGAAGAGGTCAAAGAACGTGATCATAGTATCAACATTATGCAAAAGGATCTGAATGTATGTAAAGGGAGGCAATAAAATACATAGATATATAATAGCTATCTATCTACAACTGTTCACTACACATCTTGCACTGCAGCATTTTGTTAGTCTTCTGTGTCCCATTCTTGTGGCCAAAAAATCTCAGTAACGCCTTGATGGAACTTCTTCAAATTTGGCACAAACATTCACTAGGACTCAAGAACAAACTGATTAGATCTTGGTGGCCAAAGGTCAAAGTCACATTGACCTCACGAAACGTGATTTTGGCCATGTGAACACAATATCTCTGTAACACCTTAAGGGAATTTCATCAAATTTGGTAAAAAATTTGATTCTAGTTTTATATGTGATCAATGCTGAATTTCCGTTTGTAAAACACAACTACAGGAGCTTGTCAAGATATACACATAAGTTTTAAAATGATTTTATTTGTTTTAAATCTATTTGGTTCTGTGGGAGATATTCTTTTGTACTAGGGCTGAACAAGTGATTGAAATATCATCGACTGTTGACAACCCAAATCTAATCACTTTGTCCTTGAGTCCAGGTGAAAGTTTGTAACAAATTCGTGGAAATTCCCTCAAAGCATTACTCAAATATTGAGTTCATAAGAATGGGACGAACAACCTGAAAACATAATGCTGTCACTGGCGCAGAGGCATAAACACACAAACTCTTGCTTGGGTGTATCTTTATTCTTGGTAAATTAACAAAAACATGGGCTGTAGACACTGTCTTTGAACTTGAAATGATTTAAGGGTGTGGATTGTTAAAGAGTAACTGCGCCCTAAATCATTTTTTTGTGCCGTGCATGTAATCAGAGTTTTGTTGGCATATGATGTTGATTCAGGCACTTTTTCCAACAAAATTCATACTGTGTATAAAAATATGTTTTTCTACACACATGTGGCTTGTTTCCGTCTTCAGACAGCTTCTCTTGGTTTGGATCTGAAAGCTCAGTTCAGATGAACCCTCTGGCTCCTCGCTAACCCTGAGATAATAGGAAGGACTCCTTTCCATCAGAGAAAGGGAGACAGTAACTTCTCATGGCTGGTTCTGACTCTGTCCATTTTTCTGTCCACACCTCCTACCACCTCTGTTACATTTTTTTAAATGTGCTGGGAGAGAGGCCACTGCTGCAGCAGAATTTACGGGTCCAGTTACACTTCAACACTGTAACAGCAAGAAATAAATAATTGTATAATGAATGTGCAACCACTGAGCGGTGAAAGAGTCTCAGTCTCACCTCTGGCTTTGTAATGTCTGGTACGACCGTGTATCTGCTGTTAGAGTCGGTGTTGCCCCACTGTCCGGGTACCTGGTCCGTCTTCATTCCGCCATTCTTATCCTTTATCATCACCTCTCCACCACCCTGTCCATCCATTCTTTGGTGGTTTGTCACTCCAGTGTCTTGGCTCTGCTTCGGCACCCAGCCTGTGCAGTCCGACTGCCCGGGGGCACCTGTATGTCCCCATGTCTGCGGCTCCTTCTCTGTTGCACATCCCGCCAGGGAGGCTCCCTCCACGAGCCCTAGGGGAAGAAAAACAAATGAAAAGCAGTTGTTTTCTGTAGGATGGTGAATCTACAATTTTCATGCTTATCAGTCAGTTTTAACTTCTTTTTTTTTTTTTTTTTTACTTGCCTGAAAACTAAAGTGGGGATGATACACATGCAATGGAGGATATAAGATAGGATATAAGAGCAAATGTGATTGATTGAAACTGGGTTGGTAAAAATTCTAAAATTAGAATTTCTTTGGTGTGGTAAACTCTTGCTTTGTGCTTTAAATAAAACTCACATGGACCAGGGCCACCTGCCAACCTCTGTTCACTCTCCTTTTAAGTTTTTTATCAATGACTTCATTAATGCTTTTTTAGACTGGTGGCAGGAGTTAACCCAAATCTGGCAGGGACAATAATAAACTGCAGGGAAATTAAATTCAATGTGAACAAATCTCCATGACTAACGTGTGTCTGACCTCCAGTGTCAGTGACAAGTCTTTCCAGGACAACTAGAAACTTAGGTTGTTGTTTCAGTTCAGCCAGGGAGCTAAAGTGGAGTTCTCTAAGGCCTTTTAACGTTGTTATTGTCTGTAATGCTCAGCTGCTGCAGGACACTACACTTCTCTCTGAAGGGGCAGCTCACATGTCATTATCATGGTAAAAATTAAAGCCACATGGACATTGTGACTTTTTAATTTCCCCACAGAGCAATTTTTAAGCAAACCACCATTTGATTATTCTGTCTACATTTAAAATTCCTGATAAGGCTTTTAATTTCTTTCACAAAGGGGTTCCGCCTGCCACTCTGCTGCTTCAAAAATATAAGGCTTTGTATCATTTATTACCATATTAGCCAGATGTCTGATTTTAGTGAGGTGGAAACCATCTGTACCCCCCCCCCCACTCATTCTTTATGGATCAAGGACATTTTTTACTTTGTTAAAATGGAAAATATTAGATGTGCTTGCCAAATTTATTAAAACATGGGGACCTTTTTATGCACATGCGGAAGGGTTGGTGTTTGCAGAGGAGTAACAGCTTTAATCAAATGTCTCCAGCCACTGAAATGTTCCCTTAATGGGGTTTTTTTCTTTTCGTTCTATCTTGTTAATTTTGTATCTATATATAATGATTACTTGTTTTCTTTTCTTTTCTTTTGCTATAGTTCCATTTTTTTCTACAACATTATTCATGTATTTGTCCTGCACTTCATAGACATGTCCTTTAACTTTCAAAATTTTATTTGGCACAACAATGCAACTCGCAATGCAACTCGCAATGCAACTCGCAATGCAACTCGCAATGCAACGTTTTTGACATCTTTGTGTTGTAGAAAAACCAATAAGCTAATTTTGGAAGAAAAAAAAAATCTTCCACACAGACCTCCTCATCAGCTGTGAGTTTTGGTGATGCTGTAGTATTAAAAAAACAGGTTCATTCTGCCAACCTGTGATCATTTACTGCCATCTTGTGGTAAAAGTGGGTCACTGCCTTTAAATTGGATTGATTGAAACTTGTCAGTAAAGGCAAATAAAGTATAACAGCAGAGATTTTTTTGTGTTATTTCTACAGTCCACGACACTGGACAGGAAACCAAGCAATGGTTAACAATGAGGTTACACAACCTTCTACAAGGCCCACACTGCCAAATACTGTTCACAGTCAACCTGGGGCTTTAAGGGCCCTGTGGCTCTGTGGCCTTGGTACTTCAATCTGATACATGATGATTTGGAGAGATGTCACGTGACTGATTTTGCCACTTAAGAAGAAACACCTGAGGTCGCCATGTCTGTTCTGTGTGTATAAGGTCATTGCTGCATTGTCTGAAAAATAGGGAACTATATGAAACAACAATCCGCACCGATATAGATGTGATCACTATCAGAAGAACACTACACATACTGCACTTTCTCCCTCAGGTCCTACAATATGAATGATTAAAATAATTATCCAGTAATATCCAGTATACCTGCGGTAGAGTTCTGAGTGTTTGTAAGCACAGCTGGGAGGTCTTTGGCTCTTTCCACCTGGATGTTAGAGGACACCGGGGTAAACTGATCCGGTTGTTTTTCTGAGTGAGCTGAGCTGATTACATCCTGTGATTCACTGAGAGTCGTTCTCTGTAAAGGGTCAGGACTGTCCAAAGGTCCCACCCTGTCACAGCCCCTGTTTTCATGTTCAGATGGACTCAGAGGGTCTGTTAGTGTGGGTCCTGAGGGATAACAGATGGATGCTTGTGGGTCCAGCTGTTTTGGAGAAACTGACCCATTGAGTTCATCAGCACATTCACCACCGGAGGCCTTACTGAACAAAGAGGGGTGGGTCTCCCCACTCTCTAACCTGCTGTTTTTGAAAGCAGAGGCCTCACCCTTGGCTTTTATTATGCCAGCATTACACGAGGCTCCTTGATTTTGGAGTTTTTGTTGGCTCTCTTTGCTCAGTAATTCACTTCTCGTGCTACTCTGATTCACTGCGCTGGGAGAGAGACAGGTCACACTGAGCTTGTGTTGGCCAGAGAGCGTTTGTGAGACCAGGTCACCATGGCTCACTCTCCTGTCCGGCAAAAGTTGCTCCTCAGCGCCGTGGTTCAGAGAAAGGGCACGTTCCTCCTCTGAAGTCTGGCCTCTCTCTGACTGTACACCTTCGAGTGAAGCAGCAGTTGACATAACATCGCCCGCAGAGCTCAGAGTCTCTGCGGCCGTGTTTACATGACTGTGTTTGTGTGGGCGTAGCGTCAAGCCTGGAGCTTCAGGAGGCTTAGATTCAGCTGATACTGTAGCCTGACTGGAATTGCTGCATTCAGTCATGTGGATATTTGGCTGTTCCCTCCCAAAGTGGACAGACAGTGGAGATTTAATGCTCTCCATCTTAGGCGTGGGTAAAGAGTCGCTTTGGTCCAAGGCCTTTTGATGTCCTAGCTGTTGATGGTCCCTTCCCTCATTGCTACTTTCCGTGGTGACGGAGCTCTGAGCTTTACTCTGGATCACTTCTGGGAGCAATGCTTCCATGTCACGTCTCTGTGGGGGACTGGTACCTGCTTGCCGCTCAATCTGCGGTTCAATGAGAGCCAGCTGCTCGTCAGATATGATCTGAAGGCAGATCTGGAGGTCTGCTGTATGAACATGAAACACATTCTGAGCAGCTGGTTGCACCTGGTCAAAGGGTACGATGTGACAAGGTACATTTGGGGTGTTTGGGCTGGCATATACTCTGTTTACAGGGTTTAACTGGTCTGATGGCGGCAGGAGTTGTGAGTGTGACAGAGGGGGGTTAGAGTTGAGCTGTCCTTGTGAGTAAGTTGTAATGGCAGAAACAGATGTCTGATTTCTTGCTGTGGTTATGGTAGGTATAGCAGGGTAGTTTGCAGCCGCGGGTGCAACAGTTCGGGGTAATTGCATAGGCGCTGAGCCTGCTGCAGATTTCGGGGGCTGTATCAAGGTGCTGCATAATCCTGCTTGATGATCATGTAGACAGGTTGTGGTTATTGTGGTTGCTGCAAACTGCCTGTGCACTACAGGTAGACTAGATGTCACATTTTCACTGAGTCTCGATGTTTTGGCTTGACACAGGGTTGTGGCCCTGCAAGACAAGAGAGGCTGGGCTTGTGTGGAATTGACAGCACCGATCTTTTTGATATCACAAGTCTGCATCGGCGGTGAGGTGACAGGATCACCACATGTCCTATCTGAAGTTGTGACCGAGGGTGAGGTTTGCTCAGGTTGAGAAGATGACAGAGCAGAGGTGAAAGTGCATCCATCACTTCCTGTTGGTTTATCCACAACATCCGGTGAAGCATTTGAATCAGGTTCAGCAGCATTAGGTAACTTGAGCTGGTACTTGGGCAGAAAGCTGGTCTTGGCAGCAGAGGGGATGCAAGTGGCTGGCAAAGCGCTAACAGACGCCGAATTTGCATTGATTATGCATGGCAAGAAGAGAGCTCCTTTGAACTGAGTGTGTTTTTGATTGTTTTGAACGTTGATATAACTGAGATTTGTATCTTGCTGAGGCGCACTGCCAGTGACCAAGGGAGGGGGGTGTGTCAGTGTGTTTGGGTCAGGCTCCATCTCCAGGGGGCAAATTATTTTGTCATCAGTTCTCTGCTTTTTCCTATCGGAGGGAACATGGGCTCCGCAGAGCTGAGAGGTGGACTCAGGGTGTTGCTCTTCATGAATCAATCTCCCTGCCTCTGTGCTGCTCATGCTGTCTGTTTTGTGGCTAACCAATAATCCAGTTGAAGGTAACGGCAGCACTGACGACAAATTCCTCCGCAGGGGAGTCTTGAGAGAGCTGTATGATGACTGAAGCTGGTTAGTTCCTAGATCCACAGCAGAGACGAGGGATAGCTTGGCAGGAGGGCAGCCTGGATGGCACACTGTCACACTGCTGGTCGCCATGTTGATTGTTGAGCCTGTTGTTGTTACCGTCTCCTTATGAATTGCTGACAACCTTTTTTGTGGACCCTGAACAACCTCATGCTCTAGGTTGATACATTTCTTGCCTTTGATACCAGTGTTATCAACACCTTTCTCAGCTTTGTAGAGCTTCTTAAACGTCCCGCCCCCGTACATGTACCACTTGTTGTAGGCGAACTTCTGTGCTTTCTTCCTCCGGAACTTTCTGTTGCTTGGCTCTCCACAAATGTCACCGCCATCCCCGTCACAACTGAGACTGCTGGTGGTGCACGCCTCCTCCACGGATGAATTCATGAAGAGACCGTCTGTTGCGTGGTTGCAGTCTACAGCTGTCTGGCGGACTAGTGGCCGGTGGGTGGATGACTGCTGGTTCACAGGCTTGATGGCAAAACCTGTTGGATTGATCTGGCCAGAACTTCCCCTGCGAATGAGTGTTACATAATCGCTCTGATAGGAGGAGGTTGGGCTGCTCCCCTCCGGCTGCAGAAGGGTAACACTGAAGGGGAGGGAGTTGCTGCGGGTTAAGGGGGCATGCTCTGTGGTGGTGGAGTGTTGAGTGGGCACAGAGCTGTACAACCCAGGCTTCCTGTTTCTTTGTAACCCGAAGTTTGGAGTCTTACTGAGCCTCATGTCAAAGTGAAAGGAGTCCTTGTACGTGTATGGCATGGGGAGGTCAATGCTACCCTGCTTTGACAGAACTGTCTTCCGTGGCCTTACATTCTCCAGCTGTTTGTCCTCCACAACAGCTGTATTCTCAGAAATGAGCTTAGATATGCGCTCCTCCAGCGTCTTCTGCTCCTGCTCTCTTGCACCTTTGGGCTCCTGCACACCTTGGCCTGGTTCTGAAGGCGTGCGTGTGTTGGTGGTTTCGACAAGATGCTCTTTGTTGGATTCGGTGAGGGAATCCATACTGTGGTCAGGTAAAACACTGCCAGGGCTCAGGTAGTGGTCACTGCTCTCACTGAAGCCGGAGTCCGTGCTCTCATGGCTCTGCGACTTCCCTCTGGATACAGAGCTCTCCCACTGCTTAGAGAACAGAGTGGCCTCTTGCCTCTGAAGGGGAAGATGTCGGACAATCAAAGGAGGTTTTTCATTTTCCACCCTCAGTTTTTCTTCTTCTTGTATTACCTTTGCACTTTCATTTGGTTCTGTCTTATGACCTGCAGGGGTCAACTCATTCTGTTCACTGACAGACCCTTGTGTCTTCACAGAGTAAACCTTTGTAGTATTGGCTGGACAGGTAATCTCAGCAGCAGGTAGTGTGGCATCCTTCTCTACGCTGCCTGACTCCTCGCTGTGCTCGTCCAGAGACAAACTGGAGTTGTGAGTCTCTCTGGAGCTGGACACACTGTCCAAGCTGCCCAGGCTGCTCTGCTCTGACTCTGATGAGAGGCGGGCATGAGCCTGAGTACGTTTATGTTTATAGAGGTTGCTCTGAGTCTTAAAAGAAACTCCACAGGTGGTGCAGGGGTAAGGCCGCTCCCCTGTATGGCAGCGAAGATGCTTCTCAAGCACGCTGGGCTTCATGCAGTCCCGTCCACAGTGAGGACACACATGCTTTCCTGCTGATTTGGGTCTGGCTGTAGGAGCAGCAGTTGCCAGACTCAGTCCCGGTGTAGAAGGCAGCCCACTAGCAATGTGGAGTGTCAGAAAGGAGAGCGTCTCCTTGGAGAAGAGTGGCGGCATGGCAGCTGCAGGAAGCTGCTGGTAAGTCTGCGCTGATAGAGCTGGCACTGTGTGGACATAAACAGCCGTCAGCGGGGCCTGGATGTCCATCCTTTTCTCTGTCTGTGCTGCAACAGAGCTGATGTGCACTGGAGCACTCGCCAATCCTGGCTTGCCAGTCTCCATGGTAACACTGCTGCTGTCGTGATGTACCAGTGCCAGGTCTCTAATTACCTGTAAGATAAGAACAGTTTGCATTAGACCTCTGCTTTGCCTTAGATCAAAAAAGGCAGATCTGCCTATTTGAGCAGGGATGTGTCTAGGCCTTGGTTATTTTATTGCACCAGTGGAACAGAGAAAATGAGCACAGCAATTAATAAATGTACTAAAGCAGTTAATGATGACAAATAAGCAGTACCCTCTTGGACAGATGGCTAATAAAGCAATTAATCCTGTCTGGATTCTGCATGGTGACAAAACCCAGGGAGATGTGTTTTGCAATGATGTCCACAATTCCACAACATCAAAACAAAAACACATCTAGATCTGAGTAGATCTGATACCCATGGTAAAAGTAGATGCACGTGAATCTCTAGGTGGTGCAGGAATACAACAATGGCTTAAGATTTGTTTTGTTTGCAGGCAGTGGAAATATATGAGAAAAAAACATGGAGAGAAATGTATATATACAGTAGAGCGAAGCAGGGGATGATGTAGGAGTGTGACTCACATCAGCAGAGGGGTGAGGGAGGGAGATCAGATACTCATACAGTACATCAGAGGCTTTTATCTCCCCAAATGAAAAGTGTCTGCTGACATTAGCTGTTGCCTGTCACTAGTCTGCACCAGTTCAATGCACACCCTTGATTTCCACAGTTGTATGTGGCAGCTTTGTCTCATGACAGATTGTCATATTTGTGCAGTAATCTAATCAAAGCGTAAAGCCACCTACATGAAAAACAGCTTCACATTAGGGCAAGGCAAATTTCATTTCCTGTTGCCGTAATGCTGCTTCTACATGTATGATGTGATTTTGCATAATTCACCCACAGAACTACAGCTGGCACGGAGCACACTCTTTGTTAGTCATACAGCATGAGAACGCCCACGTTAAGATACTTTTTGTGTTGCTGTTGTAACTAGGAAAGTTTGATTCTGTTCATATTCAAGTGAAATGGAGAAGCGCTGTGTGAGTGTGTTTTAATTTTTAGATCTGCCATCTAACTGTAATGTTCTTTCACTTCCGTACTGCTATGTAAATATGTCATATTGCTGCACATGCAGGAACTTCATGCAGAAATATAACCTTTGAATTATTAAAACGGATGTTCTTCTTCTACAAGCACTCGTAGTCAGTTTAAAACTGCATTCAAGTGGAACGTGACTAAAAAGAGGTCAAACTGTTCTGAAAAACAGCCTTTGCTTGAGGTAAGAACAAACATTAGCAAAAATGACAAGCAACAAAAATGTAAACAAAAAGAAAGCCTTTTTAGATTCCTCAGTTTTCCTCTAACACTATGAGAAATAACTAGTTCTTGTTTTACTTTTGTAAAATAATAACTGAGCTTGATGAGATTGAGAAATGAGCTTGATAGAGTGGATCTCTGTCAAGCTCATTTCTGAATCTCATCAACAATTGTTCTGACTTTATAAAAGGCATGTTTGAAAAGAGGAAATATCTGATGTTGTGTTGCCATCACACAGTGTAGGTAGGAATAACACTACAAGAAACCACAACATGACAGAACTAGGCCGAAACTCGAGGGCAACAGTTAAGAAAAACAGAAACTGTAAAAGACAATCAAGTCACTTACCGTCTTGTTTCACTCTTCCATCAGTAACAGTTATCCAGCTCAAAGAGTCTTCTGCCCTGAACAGCCCCATCCTCTGTGCGTGTACCTGCTCTTTTCAATCTGTTCTGTCATCCAGGCTGCGCGTTCCTCTCCAACCTGAATTTCTCTCACAGCTCTTTGACATGAACTGTTCCTTGTCACAAGGAAGCGGAACAAATGCAAATGAGAGAGAAGATGCACTATGAAAGTGGTGAGGCAGAGAGTAAAGAGAGTGAGAGAGAGAGAGGAGGGCTGGCTGGGTTGCTCGAGGGGAGGTGTGGCTGTCAAACAAAGACTTCCGGAGGACAAGTTGAAAACATAGATTTCACAAAGTGATCAGCAGCAGTGAGAAAACACAGAGGCCCTGAGCACAGATGGAAGGATCTAAGGCTAATAACACAGTGTTGTGCACATGTTAAAGTGGCTGTTTGGCAGAGGAAGCGTGAGCTTATCTTCAACAGTCACATTGGCTGAATTACTGACTTTACCATCAACAGTTTGAGGCAGTACCTGACTTCTGGCTCACTTAAATAATCGCACCTTCACCCACCTATTTCCTCCCACACACTGGATTTCATACACCCACATAGACCACGGCGCAGCAAATGTTGATGTGGCAGCTTGGCTTCAAGTGCACTGCTCGCACTCTCTCAGGCAGAGAACAAATGGATGTGTTGTGAGTGGCTGGAATGAATTTCCCACGTCCAACCACAGCCCCCATTACAGTATGTATCATTTTGCAGGGATACACCAGTTCACACTACACATGCCTACAGTATTACAGTTGCCTTTTTTTTCTTTTCTTTTTTTTAATCGTAATGTCTCATTTGTATTCACACGCTGTTGTTGCATTTACTGTTGCTGGTAGTGAAAAAACTATTGATTTAGGAAACAGAATACATTCTATTCTTATCTGTTTGATTTGAGAGCCAAACATCTGACCAGTGTGAATTTGTGTTGTCCATATATCAATGCCGTCATATGACAGTGCCTGCGACACATTTGGTAACTACATCACTATGACCCTTTCTGGACATCTCCAGAATACGATATCACAATAACCTGTGAGTGGTACATTACATAATTTAGGTGGCCTCAAATGTTACAAGTTGGGGGCATAATTACACCATGACTGCATTAAACTTTACATAATGAAGTTGATATGGCTAAGGTGTTAGCAAATAATTTTACATTAGCATTCATTTGAAATCCTGGCAAATTTATAGGTAAGTCCAATATTCGCTTTTCTTTTAGCTCTCGTTTGGTCTCCACACAAAAATATCTGCTTCTTCAGCAATATCTTTTTGAAACTGTAAAACCCAAACATTGAGCTGAAAGAACTTTAATTGCACCATAGAGGCAAGTGAAACTGCAGAGACGGACGTGATAAACCATTTCAACGTTACACTGGATCATTTGATCCACTCTTTAAAAAATTATTGACTACAGCAACTTTAAGTTTACTCTGTTTTTATTTTTCCATGTAAATAAATGAAAAACCTTGAAAAATGTCTCTTCTCTCAATCCCGCTTGATGTAAGTGACGTTTTCAAAGCTCTGGCTTTTGAACAATATGTCATGGTGTGGGATCAACCATGCAATTATCAGATGGCATCTGCTGAAAGAAAACAAATAGTTTTTTATATCATTTCACTGCTACAGACTCTCACTGGTCTCCAAGGCAACTGCAGGCTGGTCTGCCAAGTGCATGGTTTGTGTTGACATGGTAACAAGACACCTCCTACCACGCATGTTTTCTACCGTCTTTACATAGCTCACAGTCCTGCAGGGTGGAAGCAGAGTTCCGGGCATGTTCATATGTTCATATGTTTTTACAGACTTGACTGAGTCAAACCAACTGTTTTTAAATTGCACTATGTATGTTGTATATATCAATTTGTACTTGTGTGTTCTCTGATTTATTGTTGTTGATAGATGATATTTTGGCTGTTAGTCAATTTACTAGGATACAATATTAATTCCAGTTTTACACCTGATGATCAGCAGTGGCAAAGACTTGATGAACCTCTGCATTAAGCAACTTCACTGTCTTGTTGCTGTTAGTCAGACATTCCTCCATGTGGGTGCAGCTGCAAATGTGTTTTCAGCCACTGAGTGGGATTGTCAGACACATCTTGAGCTACACCACTAATGTTGACATGAGCTCAGTAGTCACACACATCTCTTAATATAATGCTATAAAAAGCTAATGTCATCATGCAAGAACTACCACTAAAATACACCTTCAATCACGTGAGACACGAAATAGTTCCTCACCTTTCACTGACTGATTCCTTGTTCTGAGGACTATGAAGTTACCTGCCTCTTCACACTGTAATTCAACTTATGGCTCTAGATCGAAGATGCCCAAGGGAAATATCCAGCTTATTTCATAAGTATCTGAATGGGTCCCTTGCTGCATTTTTGCATGAGATGAAAAATGACAGATGTATCATTTTTGTAGGCTTATCTCTCTAACAGGCTAAGCTACCGTTGTCCATCTGCATGTATTACACTACATCTCTGTCTTTTTTGGCCACTTTGCAGGAAGTGACAACTGAGAGAATGTGTGTGGGTGGGTGCTGAATTGCTAGAGGCCTATATCCACTTACATGTTCACTGATGCCTTTTCAGTGGATAAAGAATAGCAATCTCATGCTCCACTTTTGTCTTCGGCACCACTACCAATCACACCACTACTACCAGATGTCAAACACAGTGCATTTAGAGTGTTAAACTGTAAACCATAATGATCGTCTGTTTTACTCTATAACACAGTCTTAGCTACTGTCATCAGTGTGTAGCCCCAGTAAAAGGCATTTTTCAAGTTTTCAACTGCAAAACTCAACTATTACACCAATAAAGCTGAGATCTAAACCGGAGCAGAAGCTGACAGCTTTTTCTTTCTCCTCATGTCTTTGAGATGCTGTATTTGTGCACCCTCTGCTGGGTCATCAGTGTATGCCTACATAACGGTAAAATAAGCTTTCTTTACATATACACTGTAATGATTTATGTGGTAGAACTGGGGTTGGTATGGCTGATAAAAAGAAAAAATCCAATATCAACACAGAACAGAAACAGTTTATTATTGTTATCATTGTTCCCTGCTGTTTTTGTTCTTTTTAATTAATGTTTTAGACAGTGAAATGTTAAATCTCCAGATGGTGACCTCTTCATGTTGCTTTTTTAAAATGTATAAAACAGAGAAAAAGAGAAAATCACCACAATTTAAAACCTGGAGACAGTTTTTTTATTTTTATTTTTTCAAAAAGCGGCCTGCTTAAACTATGAACCACCAATCAAAATTTCTGTTTATTAATTGTTGTTGTTGTTAAAGTTTTTACCAGCAATAATTATAGGCTAAGTTCATTGTGGCTATAGGTTTTGCGTGCACAAATAAATAAAGAAAAAGAACGAAAGAAAGAAAAAGGAAAGAAAAAAAGAAAGAAAGAAAGAAAGAAAGTTTAGGCCTACACATTAATGACTTGTTGTCCTCACATACCTTGTAAATGCACCATTAGATGTCTTTTTTCTACCTTAAGGTCAAGGTTTGCTCTGTTTTATTATCACAGTAAGCTAACGTATAAAGGACAAAAATGATAGTGTTTAATGTAACATTTGTTGTCATTGCATTTCCTTCCTTTGAACGTCACATTTTGCCGTTTAGATGCGACATTAAAGTATTATAATGCAAGTATTAAAATGCTACTTAATTGTTAACCGCTTGATGAACTAAATATGAAAATTCTGTTTACCATGAGGCAACTTCCTCCTGTGCAGGCTTTCATTGTTATGACGTAGGACGCAAAATACGTAGAGCGTAACGCACGTTTTGTCCAGGAGCGCCATTGGAACTTTGGAGAGAGGTAGATATTTTATGTTTTGATATTGAAAACGAAGAGTAATATCTCACCTTCAGCCGTTAAGTAGCACATAATATTTTTGCAGAGCGCACACGCTGAACCAGTTCATGGTTTTACCTGCGCTTAACTTCCAGTTGTTTTTGCTCTGTCTTAACTGTAGCAACAAAGCTAGCGTTATTAGCAGCACTGCTAAGGACAACTTCCATTCATTTACTTTGACTGCCCATAACATCGGTATAGTCACAGTTGACGCTGTTAATTTGGAGCTTATGTGAATGCAGAATTAACATCGACCTCGGCAGAAACTGAGATCACATAACGGCAGTTAACACACTTCGACGATTAATTGTTGACATGGTGTCTTTTGTTACAGCAGCGAAGTTGACGGTCCGGTTTTGGTCGCACTGACCCAACATGTATCGTCCCAAACCAACTCTGAAGGACCGACAACACCTGTACAAGCTCATCATAAGCCAGCTGCTCTATGATGGATACACCAACATCGCTAACAGTCTCATCAGTGAGGTCAAACCACAGAGCGTAGTGTCCCCCTCTGAGCAGCTGATGCAGCTGGCAAAGATAGGTAAGTGTTGTTTTCTCCATGCCTTCATGTTTGATAATACTTCATATATATATAATAATACATCACACAATAAAAGCTTTATAAAAACTGAACTGACTCTGAGATTCCGATATCCTCAGGCAGGTTGTTCCAAAGTTTAGCGGCCTGACATCAAAGGTCCCTTGTCCTTTGGGTTTCTACCTAGACCTTGAAATGACCAGCAATGAACTACCAGAGGATCTCAGACTGAGTCCTGGCTCATAGGGGGATAAAAGCTCAGAAATGTAGGGAGGGGGTCAGCCCAAACCTGACCTTTTAAAAGTAATAAAAATAATTTTAAAATCAATCCTAAAATTAACAGGCAGCAAGTGTAGAGATTCTGAGACCGGGGTGATGTGAACACATTGTTTGGACTGAGTTAGGAGGAAAGCTGCAGCATCTGAAGTAACTAGCAGTGGACTGATTTTTGACTGAGACAGGTAGATGTTTGTGCTTTGTGTGTGGCTTTAAGTGGTCATTCTTTCTCAACTTTTTCAGGGATGGAGAATGATGACAGTGCAGTCCAGTATGCCATCGGGCGCTCAGATACAGTGGCACCTGGAGTGGGTATCGATCTGGAATTTGATGCCGATGTCCAAACCATGTCTCCAGAGGCATCTGAATATGAGACCTGCTATGTTACGTCTCATAAGGGTCCGTGCCGTGTGGCAACATACAGTCGTGATGGCCAGCTGATTGCTACCGGCTCTGCTGACGCCTCCATCAAGATCCTAGATACTGAGCGCATGCTGGCTAAGAGTGCCATGCCCATTGAGGTGAGACAGGTTGGAGAATACGTTTACATTTGATGCTTTAAAGTCAACTGGCTCATGTTTACTTTTCTTTCTGTTTCTGTATATGTCAGGTGATGATGAATGAGACAGCACAGCAGAACATGGAGAATCACCCTGTAATCCGGACATTGTACGACCACGTCGATGAAGTCACCTGTCTTGCCTTCCATCCGACTGAACAGATTCTAGCTTCTGGCTCGAGAGATTACACCCTCAAACTGTTTGACTACTCAAAGCCCTCTGCAAAAAGAGCATTTAAATATATACAGGTCAGAATTTGTAGGCGGGATTTATCTGTTTTATCATAGGGTTAGGGTTGTCATATGTTAAATAAAATAAAAAATGTTCTGATGAATGTAGAGATGCCTTGTTTCATAGAAGTTGCTCAGGAAATGTAAACACGGATGAAAACGACTAACCCTAACCCTTGCTTTTCTTTGCTTTTACTAGAATTACGTATCAATCTAATCCTGCCTTCATCTTCCTTGTAGGAAGCAGAAATGTTGCGTTCAATCTCCTTCCACCCATCAGGTGACTTCCTGCTGGTGGGAACGCAGCACCCCACCCTCCGCCTCTACGATGTCAACACCTTCCAGTGCTTCGTGTCCTGCAACCCGTTGGACCAGCACACAGACACCATCAGCGGTGTCGGCTACAATCCCACCGCCAACAGCTACGTCACCTGCAGCAAGGACGGCAACATCAAGCTGTGGGATGGTGTCTCCAACCGCTGTGTGACCACCTTCGAGAAGGCCCACGATGGCGCAGAGGTCTGCTCTGCTGTCTTCTCCAAGAACTCCAAATACATCCTGTCCAGCGGCAAAGACTCTGTGGTGAAACTGTGGGAGATCTCTACGGGCCGGACGCTGGTCAAGTACACAGGTAAAGAGGACTTTTGTTTTACAAGAACCACAGTGTGCTTTCATGTGGGTGGACAGATCATTTTTTTTAGGGCACAGTGCTGTACCAAGGGTGTCAGTTGGATGGTTCATCTAAAAAAGATGAGAAAACAAGAGAACTGGCTAGGGGCAGTTAGGGTATGTTAGCTGCTAATGCTGTTGTTACTTGTCTTGGTCTACCTGCTCCTGCCTTCAACAACAAAAACAGTTTTGTAGTTAAAAACTGAATTCAAGATAAGCTAAGAAACCTTATTCATATTTAAGTTTCAATTTTCAGTTTTCATGATAACATGCCAGTGTTGATGCAGGAAAATGAAAAAAAAAAAAAAAATTTCAAACATTTCAAAATAACAGTAACACTGACCACATTAGCAGAAGTGTTGCAGCTTCTGCTGTTTTCAGAAAGAGATTTGTTTCTGTCTTTGTGTGAATGAATTTTTTTTCTCAGAATTTAGGTGAAAAGAACAACACTCGTCACATCACCGTAACACGGTCAGAGTGATGTAATTGCTACGTTGCAGTCTGGAGCAACTCTTCATTGCTTGTAGAGTTTCTTAAGAACTATTGATGACATTTTGAACTGTTATCATGGAATCTGGTTAGTTCTGATTTCATCATGTTGTATAGCACAATTTGGAGCTCATAGTTGCTTAGTTACAAGATACAGTATTAGGTAAGTGACACATTTCTGTTGTTTTGTCTCTGTACTCCAGCACGTTGTCTGCAAGGTTTACACCCACCTCAGATCAACAGCAAAACTTAAAATTACTTTGTTGCAATTGTATAACACACAGTTAGGAAAGGAAGAAATAACCAAACAAGACCAAGTCAAAATCTAATATATGTCTGGACTGTCTATGGACAAATCCTGATTTTATTACCACAACATCGTCTGACAAAATCACCAAACACATAAATTAAAAACAAAGACTGAGCTGTGATTTCAGCTGAATTTACTGTGAAATGATCAGAGTTGGAAGAGACAGACTGTCTTTCTTAGTCCTTATTTACTTCAACTCCATAACGTAACAGACTTTTATTAGAGGCAGGTCTTTATGTCTAACTCCCTCTGTTTGATATGTAGAGTTGGTCATAGTCGTTAGTACGAAGCCTCGTTACCGATGACTTCTCTGTCTCCCTCCCTCTCTCCTGCTCTCTCTGCTCTGTGTGTCTTATGTTTAGTTATTCCTCTGCCTCCTTTAGTAATAATGATACATGTAATGAAAGTAGTTTCTTTGCTGTAATGGAGGAGAGGCTCAGTGCATTGGAAGCTTTCCTCCTCTTCCCTGCAGTTCCTGAGAAGCTGGGAAACCAGAGCAGCTCAGTAGACTGAGGCTCGGCACTCAGTTGAGCAGTGGTGGAAATATCATCAGTGATGGGAAAAAAAGTGATGTGTGAGGTAGAATCTCCAGGACTCTTAACATTAGCATACAGCAGGTCCAGGAACTGTCTCGGGTGGTGCAGTCCTCAAACTGAGTGAAAGTGTGGAATCTTGTCTCGTTGAAGTCACCGGAGACCGTGAAGAAAGCACTGGGGTTTAGAGTCAGGAGTCTCGCAGTAACAGATGATGGATGACGTCACACGTGGTTGCCAAGTTAACTGAGATCTGGATGCAAATCAAAACTCCTGGATATGTAGTATATTCGTAGCCCAGTTTACAGTTCAATTTCTGGGCTGCAGAAACCTTCCACCCTGTCCACCTGAACCTCCTGAATGTGATCCAGAGTACCAGAATAGAACTTGGAGCCCTTTTAATACCAGGCACCAGAAATAACTGGATGTGGTAACCTGATCCTATTTTATTTTTTGCAAATATTTCTGTCTGCTTAAGTCCCTTATTTATAGACATCAGTATACACTTCGTCCGCTGGTCAGGTGTGGACAGCAGCTATCTTCTTGTACATTTTGGGGGCTTTTTACCTTCAGTATGGTCTTTGACTCACACAGGATCGTTTGGACAGAGGTCAAGCGACTGACTTGGAGAGTCAAGACCAAGGGTTAAAGATAAAACTGAATAAATTCTGACCTGTTCTTCTCTGTTTTGTCCACAGCCTGGCTCTACAGTGTAGCATTTTGTTCACACACCTGTGAAAATAAGTGTGTGTGAATGTATTTGTTTGCAGCAGTGTGTGAGTCAGTGTGACTCAGAGGCTGACAAAATGCATGGATTTGCTTAACTCCACCTCTAACACATCTATTTCTCCTTTCTCATTAGCAAAGATTCTTACACAAAACCAGTTAGCAGCTTTTTATTTTCACCCAGCACTGACCATCACTTCTGTCTGCACTCAATAATTTACATTAATTCCATGAGTAACTTGATATAAACTTGCCAAAATTAAATGTCTCTGTTGTCTGGTCAAAATGCTGTCTGTCAGGTGGTGTCTCGAAGAGGCAACACCCCCAAAATTATGCATAACTTTAAGAGGACAGAGAGTGGGAGTGTTATAAATCCCTCTAAATCAAAGATGGTCAGATGTCGACTTTAAACTTTTAGGCAAAAATAGCATATTGTAAACGCGACAGTTTATAAAACTGGGGGGGGGGCACTTTGTGTTACATTGTTTGTATGAAAAGTGCTTTACAAATAAAGTCTGATTGATTGATTTAAGTCTAATGAAGGATGGGATTTAGAAAATGGTCAGTTCACCATCAGTTTAAATATTGTCAGTCAGCTGTGATGGGGGCGGCTGTGGCTCAGGAGGGAGAGCAGGTCGTGGTTCGATCCCCGGCTCCTCCAGGCCACATGTCGAAGTGTCCTTGGGCAAGATACTGAACCCAACTTTGCCCCTGATGGCTGCTCCATCAGTGTATGAGTGAGATGTATGAATGTGTGAGTGAATGGGTGAATGTGTAAGTATTGTAAAGCGCTTTGAGCGGTCAGCAAGACTAGAAAATCGCTATATAAGTACAAGTCCATTTACCATTTACCATGTGATTTCAGTTGTGTTGTAGTGGTAGTGATGTGTTCTATCCGCTGTTACAGGCGCAGGTTTGAGTGGCCGGCAGATGCATCGCACACAGGGCGTGTTCAACCACACAGAGGACTACGTGCTGCTGCCGGACGAGCGCACCATCAGCCTGTGCTGCTGGGACTCTCGCACGGCCGAGAGGAAGAACCTGCTGTCCCTGGGACACAACAACATCGTCCGCTGTATCGTCCACTCGCCCACCAATCCTGGCTTCATGACCTGTAGCGACGACTTCAGGGCCCGCTTCTGGTACCGCCGCACCACCACAGACTGAGACACATCCATGTCTCCACTCAACGCCCCCCCAACCCCAACCCCACCCCCCCGACAGAGCACCAATCAGAATGCTGGACTCTTCTATAGGATTCCATAACCTCTCTGGTCTCGTCAACTTCAAGTCATTTGTGGTATCTTTCATTTTTATTTAACTGTGCAGTGGAATTTGTGGGACATTACTTAAGAAAACAGAGTTGTCATTGCACCGTCTTAAAGAGCAGCCTGTCTTAAAACACGTCAGGTGCCTGTGTACACATTGAGAGGTTTTGCTTGAGGTAATTCTATATTCTATATTAAAAAAGACCATAACTTTAGAAGATAACCACTTCATGAGATTAACTCGGACTTCAGAACCTCATATTAGCTTCAGATAGACTTTTGAATATATGCACAGAATCAGGACTGCAGATGTTGTCCCCCACGACTTCTGTTGAAACAGTCTTTTGAAGGCCACCAGGAACAGGATGAATGATTACAGCAAGCAAAACCTTGTTTTAGTGTCTGTAAGGGGACTTGACTATTGTTTGAAGTCAGACTTGGAAAAAGTGAATGGAAAACTCTTTTTGGCTGCCACTCTTTGTGAATGATACACTGATCTTTTGTCTGATTGAATTCAAAGCCTGACCTTTGAAACTCCCTTCACTGCTTTGAGACCTCGTGCAGAATTCACATCTCAAATTTTAGTTCTATGTCAAAGTTGACCGCAGAGTTGGGTTGTTGTCTTTTTCACTTTTTATACTTTGTCAATGTCCTTTGTTGTAATTCAGATTTTTATTAAACAATTAAAAGAGAGAAGCCTCTTCTATGAATTTGATGTTTAAATATCACCCTTAGAAATGACACAGCTAACGACCACCATGGAAATTTCCTGTAGATATTTTAAGATCACAGTTGTTGCTGCAAAAAGTGAGCAACCTGCAGGGCGCCACCAATACCACAACACACATACTGCCATAGGTGTAGCATGCATCTACTTATTGTGGTTTTTGTTTCTGTATGACTAAATTCAAAAGTCCAACCCTGTGGTATTTTTTAAAATGTATTTTTTTATTATTATTTATTAAATTTATTATTTTTATTAATTTTATTTTGTGACGGCCTCAAAAAAAAGCAATAATAAGAGAAACAATCTGAACAAAAACTAATCAAAACTCCTGATTGTCCTTCTCAACTTCCCTGCATCCTCCGACTGGAAGTTCACCCTGCCCCATCACCCCCTCTGCATTCCCCAACCCCCAACCTAACTCTCCCAGACGCTGCTGTCTGTGTTACCCAGACAATAATGAGGAAACCCACAAGAATTTATTCTTCAAAATTCCCCCTCTCCCTCCCTCCTGAACCTTCTTTATAAATGTGTCATGGATGAATGTGCCATAAATATAAGAAAAAGAGGAAGCAAAATAAAATATGGTGACAAAAATTCCCTGCTACTTGGGTAATCAAATGGTGCTGTACTTCTCTTTTACTAGAAAGGTGGAGGGGTAAGAGAGATAGTATAAAGAGGTATTAAATTCAGAGAAAAAAAAGAAAGAAACATCGGTGGGGTAGGGCAGCTGCAGAGAGAGGGGTGTCTCTGGCCAATGGGGCTGCGGGAAAGCAGCTCTGTCAATGACATGGAGCTCGCTGTCCCCGCCCAGGGTGTAAAACAGTCTGCCCCTCAGTGACAGCTCAGACAATATGCTGGTGGAACACACACAAGGAGTAAATCCCCGAGACGCACTCATGGTAGAGATGATTCACTGAAAACAGCCTCTGTGCACGGACTTACTTCTCTGTGTGGAAACTTAAACACAACTGCCTAACAAACATGGTGAGTACTGCAGCCACTTCTTTAGCTAGGACTTCAAATTGTTTTACTCCAAAATATTGTTTTCATTACAGCTCAGATTTCTATTTAGAATGATTTATAATGATCATATAATTACAATTTTTGAATTTATGCTGTGTTGTCTTTTGTGTCTACTCTGTGTTCTACTGGTGCTCATCCAGAGGAATGTCCTTGCAGACCACCTGCTTGGATTTCACTTTAACTTGCAGTGTCAGCTACCACCTATTTCCACACACAGCCCCTCTGACCTGCTCTACAGTAGGCTGTAACCTGAGAGCGCTGATCCTGACACAGAGCTGAGACTGAAACTTTATGAGCCTCATTAACACACAAGACTTTAGAAGTCAGATTATCAACTCAAGTCTGCTCACAAACACATAATCGGGATGTTAGGTGAGAGATTATGTACTTACATGTTGCAGTTTGCACATGTGTAAATTTAAATATTTTAGTTCATTTCACTCTGATTTACGATGTTTCATTCACACATCTTAAAAAGATCGATACACTAAAACACTGCTTGCATGTCTGTTTTTAATCTTTAAAACCGTGTGCATATCTGTTGCTAACTGGGCTGGATGTTGCAGGATTGTATCCAGAGTAACTTTGATTACTTATCGATGGTGCACTAAATCTAAATCTGTTTGCAGCTTGACCAAGAAATTATCAGAGGGATTTTATTTGCATCATTTCATCTTTACAAGTCGGTGTTTGTCACGAGACCCCCAGAATAACAACATGGGAATGCACTGTAGCCAACAGCAGATGGGAAAAACATTAAAGTTAGTATGTGCCTTTTGTTACCTTTGTCTAGATATCTCTGTCAGACTGGGGCCTACAAGGCCAGTCAATATTTGGCTTGGGGGTCTTTGTGTGGAAAAAGCATTGATATGAATAATGTGACAGCAAAGCCTAATCTTCCCAGGACCTACTAGTAGAAGGAAAGGATATGCCTCATCCTGACATTTTCTCATGCGAATGAGCTCATCTTTTGTTTCTTAAAAAAACAACTGAGTGGTTTGGTTGATGACTAACTGTCGGTTTAAGCAATCTCGCTTCTGTTCTATATAAGGCGTTTGGTATTGGAATTTATTTCTTGTATAATTCGTAGCTATTTTGAGATGCCTCACACTGTTGTGTCAGTTTTTATCATCTGGGAGCAGCAGTCAGTCAGTAGACAGTCATGAGGGCTCACACAGCAGGAGGCTGGGGCAGCATCCTCTACACATCCCACTTAAGGAAGCTGAAATAATTTTGTTGGTTCAAAATCTCTTGAGGATTATTAATCTGGCTCAGAAGTGAGACAGCCTGATTGTTCTTTATGTCAGCTAAAAACTTTGAGCATGTAAGCCAACTGGCCTTTATTGTCACTGTGAGCTCCGCATATAATTGAAATTAGGAACACTGCTTGTCAGTGGTGCAACAAGCTGAAAAGCAGGCATGAGATTACTATCACACTGCCTTTCAAAGCTGCTATGACCAATATTGTTATTGTAAATATGGCTGCAAGTAGGTCAGAGTTGCCATATTAACACGATGTCAATGGCATGGTTGTGAGCACTCACAGCAGGTTTCATTGTCAGTTGATTAAAGATTGGCTGAGATATGACCTGACATCTTGTTTGGCACCTTTGTTCGATCGGCTCTGACGGATGAATGCTTTTGCAAATCAAAACGCCAACAAATAAGTTTTGCCAGGTTTGGTTTTAAGTCATATGCACCAACACTTTTTTGTGCTACGTCCTGATGGGGTCCTGAGTCCATATATGAAGTTTAATTTTTATACATAAAAGTGTTGCTGAGATATGAACTACCTACCTGTACCTACCTCACTACCTGTTTTCAATTGGCTGTGATGGACAAACTTTAGAAAATCAAAAATCCATGTGATACATTTTGTGAGGCCTGGTCTGAAGATCATCTGTGCCAGTTTCAGTGAAGATTGGACAAAGAAAAAAAACTGACATCATGCGGCATTGAACTCGGCTTGATCCGAGGAATCCAATGGTACCCCGTTCCATTTTTGAAAATCATGCATATGGTTCTGAAGTTTAAAGGCATGAAACTTGGTGAAAAGCATGGGGGAGTGTCCCTGATCAGTGTGCCAAAGTTCAAAACTTTTTACCACACGGTTCTAGGGGCTGCCGTAGACTCCCATGGCAGATGAAGAAGGTAGAAACACAATGTTGGCGACTGTGTGATGTGAAAGGTGTCACTCATAGTTACAAAGCCACAGAGAATTATCACCCAACACCAGCAGTTTACCTCAGTGCTGAGGAGCATTTTAATGTCTTCAGCTCATTTGGATTTTACAACCCACAACTTGGATGTTGTTGTTCAGTCTCCCCACTCTCATCAGCATTGTTTCCAGCAGCAGCAGGCAGCTGCTGTCAGTGAATAAAAGCTCTGGTTAACCCACTGTGCATTACTTACCCAGCTCCAAACAGCAGAAAGACAAAGTTAGCAACTCGTTGCTGAACATAGTGAAGCATTTAGTGGCTATTATTGTAAGGAGGTATGGTAAAAAGGTATTGTGAGGTTTAGATTTTAATTAATGTTGTATATTTGAGTTTATTTTCTAAAAGATATATTTAAAATGTTTATACAGTTCACTTTTTACATATTTATGTTTATGAAATTATTATTTACATATTTACAAGTTAAAATATTTACAATCAATCTCTAGTTTTATTTTATTATATATAAACTTTTTATATACACACATTATATAATATATATTATTCATATATTATATATTATTTTTTGCAAAGCAATTTTTGAATATTTTGAAACATGCAATTTTTACACCTTTGTTTGCTACATACCAGGGTTCACCCTTGATCCAAGGAACAAGAGTTACTACAAAAGGTCCACTTGCTAGCTTCTTCCAGAGCTTCTTCATTAGCAATTGCAGTTTGCTCAGTTGTTATGGAGATGGCTCAGTATTCATCATGTGCCACTGCAGTTGTAGTTCTAATACTACTACTTACTTACTACTACTCATTGGAATAGTATGAAACTGTGGGCAAGAAACTGGAACCACATGCTCGTGCACGCATGTATCATTGTGTCCCTTCTGGTAGCAAGTGTGAATAAAACAGGGATCTGCTGATCAGAACATCAAAAATCGCCACAGGATACCTTTAACTAATCCATCTGATTTCCTGCAAATCTGAAAATATGACGCACAACATTATACATTATATATTTCCCGTCTGCTCAGTTATTATGGTAATGTTTCAAATAGTCATCTTCAAATGTTTAATTTAAAGATGTCATTTGTGTTTGTACAGAGAAAGAGTCAGAATCACTTATAACACAATCTCAACCATCAAACATACTCTTTAACACTGTAACAGGTATATGGGAAACAACAAAGTAACCACAGTGCATATGTGCGCTATGACAAAAGGCAGAAGAAGAGAATGAGGAAGTGCGAGTATAAATAAAACTGTGAGCCGTGAGATTAAGTTCCTTCCACGGAGCAGTGAGCCGTTTATCTATTGTTCCTCACACTGTCCCTCATCTACTCTTACTGTTGCACATCTGGGAAACAACAAACTGTCCTGCACATAACTGAAAATTGTCACTACAGTGAATTTTAAGGTATTTCTGCTCATTCTGTCCCATACGCAAATGTAATACGTGTACATATATTGAATTTCCGTATATGAAATATAAATTTTTATTTTATATGTACATATATATAAAACTTATATATGAAACCTATTAGAAATTTGAACAATTTCATATATTGACATGTGTGTCGAGCCCATACAAATGCATGCATATGTATGCTTATATTGTAGACAGATGTTACATAAATATATATTCATCCCAAAGCCAGTCAATAGATGTTGATATTATAAACAGTATGGTCCAAAAGTCTTAGACACTTTTCCAGAATGTGACATTAGACATTTTTAAAATTAACAAGAAATTGATAAGAAAAACATATAGATTTTTAATGTGTATGTTGTTTTGATAAACATGTTGCAAGCATATGTGTTCTATGTAAAAATTCATCACATAAATATTTTTACTATATGTACATATACAAATTTTACTAGGGGTATTTCATATATGTTATGAACTTATATCTTCATATATCCAGAGGATGTATGAACTGTATGTAGGCTAATAGTAATATATCCCCTTATAGGTGACATATATGGCAACATCATTCTTGATATAGGGACATATATATCATATATTAAATTTCTGTATTGGGTTTGTAGTCTGTCGATCACAGGCAGCCATTATCTATACATTCAAATGAAGCTGAATCAGTTCATTAGTTTCACACTTGAGTCAAAATCTTCTAATAGCAGCACCAGTTATCTGGTCTCCTGCACTATTTGATGAAAATTTGCATTAACACTATCAGGAGAGAAGAGTCAAACTGAATCAGTGCAGCTTGTTACTTATGAATTCAACTTTTCTGCACTACTGCACCAGTTTCACTTAAAACTCTCTTTATCCTTTGCCCTATAAATGTCCCCTAACTCATCTCCTATGGCCCATATATTCACTTCATTTCAAGTCAAACTGACTAAAAACAACAGAGTAAAGCAAATCCTGAGAGATTGGAGAGTACATCACTTCACTAATCTTTCATAGGCTTTTTTGTTTTGTTTTGAAATACATTAAGTATGTTTACTTGCTGTTTTACTTTGGTCTGATATTGCTTTAAGACTAGCTGTCTCTGTGGAATGTTGACTGAAAGCTTCAAGGAAGTTTTCGTCAGTTGTGTTTGTGCATGCGATTTTGACATAGTTCTCACCAGTTCCAATACAGGAAATACCAGGGCAGCTGTAACGAGTTAATGTCACTGCCACAGAGCCTGAATTAGTCTCCATAGCCTCTTCTTGAATTTATTTTGGTTGGAGAGAGGGTTGACAAAGGTGATTTTCCATGGAACACATCTGAGGATCATTTAAGATGAATAAACTGATCAGATCTGAACAAATTCCCAACATATTGAAAGATAATTTAGTGGAATACCAAATGTGCCTTTCAGTGTTTTTCCCTCTGTTTGTCTGTCTGTCCCTGTCTCTCCTCCTTGTCTTCCCCGCTGCCCCCGTCTTTGTATCTAAGATACTGTGGGAAAGTCTAAAGTGTCATATTTACAGGCTGACTTCCTGTCCAATTTCAAGAAAAGAGATTATCTCAACAACATGCTCTTCCTCATCATGAATACCCTTTTCCTGCCTCTCTAGGAAAATTAACATTTTTTTCTACATTTTGTGAATTTTTAGCCATGTGTGACAGATTTGTTTACCGCCACCATGGGTGTTGTGCCGGGCCTGGCATTTGTCTGAATGTTTAATGGATGAGGTGCTGACCTGACCCTGGGGTTGTGCCCTGGCTGTCAAGGGGCAAAAGGTCTGAGTGAACCAAGAGGGTGTTATTCCCACACTGGGAACTGCTTCCTTGACTGGTTCCTGTTCCAGTATGTCTCTGGGAATGGACACTCTTATTATGTTGACTTAATTATGTCTGTACAGGTCATCTCTTATTGTGTGGGAAAAAGATTACAGTTACCCAACAGCGTCACTCTTTCAAATTTGGGGATTTCCATTCCTGAGTACAGTTATGAAATACCTGATGTATGGCCACATAGTTACCTAATTAAATGAATTATACAGTACATGAATAAATACCAGCAATGATCAGTTTAAATATAAATGCACTGAGGATAAATCACCCCTCATGCAGCCTTTCAGTGGGTCACCTATAAACCACTTTGAACTCCCCAGTAATTTTGATTATCTATCTATCATTTAGAGGAGCTTATTTGTAAGTTTTGCAATTGCTACATAGCCAAGATTAGCATAGTTAACAGCTGTTTACTTGCCAGTCCAATAGAAATGTTGCAAATTTAGCATCTAACTTCATTCCTTTACTTGCCAACAGCTATGTCCAGCTGTGGAAAGCAACACGAATGTTAGCTCTAGTTTTGCTTATTTCTATCACTTTATTTCTTCTACTGAAGTTAGCATGCTAACTAGCTAGCCCTGATCTGGACTGTGACTATCACATCAATTTTCAATACTGAGTCACTGTAGCGTCCAGTCTGCTCTGAAGAACTATTGTGCTCAGGGGTTGTATTGCAACCTCTTGTATTGTAAATACAATGATCACTGAGGCTCTTGGCAAGACTGGTACATCGCATACAGCTGTAAATGCTAACATTGGCTATGAAGCAATAGCAAAACTTACAATTGGCTCTATTAAAGCGCATCTATTCAACTTAGAAATAAATAAAAAAACATTTTGTTGGCTAATGTTGGCAAACTTTATGTAAATATTACTGAGTCAGCTCACTGACTTTATTACTGTTCTTCACTTGTGCTACTTTTACAGTAAGTACATATTTATATATATATGTTGTCCAAAAGTCTCTTTACAACAGAAACCCAGAAAGGCCATACTCTCAAATATTTTGTATTTATTGTTTTGTTATCTCAAGATGCCAGAGCTTTGTTTTCTTGAGATAACATAATTATCCCAAGCTTAACACAACAGCACCCCATGAGATAACAGAGTAATTATCCCGTTGTTTTGAGATAACAGGATAAAAAAATATTTGCAAGTATGGACTTTGTTGGTTTCCATACTTTTCCATTCTAGACAATGGGAATCATATACAATAATAACACAGTCTGAACAATCAAGCCTCTCAAGGGGTATGGATGGTTTTCATTTGCTTTTTTCATGAAATTCATGAAGCGTGTGTAATGAAATCTTGCTTATTTTGACTCAAAGTGACGTGTTGCCTGAACAGAAGCTCCTAGTTTCAAAAGCATTTCTTGCGTTGTGTCTGGCGGACTGATGTTAATTTGTGAACAGGATGGAGCAGAGCGACGAGAGAGGAGGGAACGGCCGAGACAGCTGTGCAGTTAAAGTGCTGAAGGCCAGCTGTCAGAGGAGCTGATCAGCACAAGCAGGCGTGTGCAGGAATCCAAAAGAGTCACAGCTGAATCTGACTTTGTTACTTTACTTAGTGAACAACACAGACACAGAATCAGGGACACACGTAAATACAGCATGAGGCGAGGCAGGGGATTCTTCTCAGGACAAACAACCTGTTTCATGGATTCAACTGTGGTTTAGACACAGGATATATGTACAGTGCTGACTAATTTAAGTCTCACCAATAATCAAGTCATGTGGCATTTGTACCCATTACAAGCATGGAAACTCTGTGGGCTTTCTACATGCGCATCTTATTGTGACCTGGATGGACAAAATTCATAGAAAGTGTGTAACACAAGCAGATTTTGTAGTGATGATCCTGAATCAGTTGCTAATGTCATCTTAGGACAGTGTACAGTGATGATTCCAAGGAGAAAGCACAACAACATAAATCTGGGTGGTGTGGTCACAGACTGTCATCTGACCCGACATATTTTGCCTACATGTCTGTAGCATGACCCAGAGGATTAGGCAGGGAGTTTGCTGAGGCTTGGTGTGTGTGTGTGTGTGTGTGTGTGTGTTTGGGGGGGGGGGGGGTCTGCTGCATCCCAACAGGTGCTGAGCATGTTGGGCTCTGATGGTGAATGAACTCTTTGTTACTGAGCATTCACCCTCAGAGAGAAGGCAGAGCCAGTAGACCCCCCACCCCCCCCACAGGCTTATCAGCTGTGGGTTGAGTGTGTGTGAGGGAGTGTGTGGTGTGTTTGTTTGGTCAGGGGTCTGTCTGACTGTGTGTACCATTACTTCTATAGATTCACTTCTTCATGTTAGCTTTAAGTTCTGTAGTTCTTCCCTTAGTACGGATGAACAAATATTCGTCATGACCAAAAGTATGTGAACACCAGAATATTGCACCTATATGTGATTATTGCTGGAACCCCATTGTTTTTGTTCTCACTGGGGGCCAAGATACCCATTGTGTTTCATCCTCATCATCATCTCCTTTTAACTTCTGCCACGGGAGTCTGCAGCAGCCCCTCGAAGCGTACGGTAAAATGTACCCTACGATGTCAGTTTGCGCCATACTGGATGTAATGTGAAAGTGTTTTTTCTCTACTCCTCACACAAACTCTAAACTAAACCTGGCACAGATGATCTTCAGATCTCACATAATTTTTCATAGATGATTTGTATTTTTGAAAGCATTCATTTGTCAATGCAACACAACGCTTTTATGTGTGACTCAGGAAACATGAGGAGGCAGCTCAAGACATCTGGTGTCCCTAAACAGTGAGCGCTGCAATAACAGAATTTGCATTTTGCCTCAAAATTATTGATGTGTTTGGCTTAAAATCTAAATTCCTGTGCCTGGTAGCATAGAGCAAGCCAAGATTGAGACATGGCCACTAGTCAAGTCAACCTAACAGATGCAGCTGCCAGGATGTAATGTGAAATTGTTTTTTCGCTACTTCTTGGACAAACTTTGACAAAGCCTCCCAAAAGTTATAATATGAATTTCTGAATATCATCCGTCACAGCCAAACAAAAATGGGTGCAAATAAACATTTTACTGGGTACATGGACTCGGGCCCCATCAGAGGGAGGTGCCCTTTGACCTCTAGAGGGCAGGGCAATAAGAAAAAAAAAATTATCACAATTATCTCGAAAACATCTGGTCAGAATTGTTTCATCTTATTGATCTCTAAACCTCTAAATCTTAATTTCTACACTGACTGTTATGTTGCATTCTTGTTTTCTGACGTCTGTTTTCTGAAGTCATAAGTGACAACACAGTTAGATTTGGTGCATTTGTCACTGATCTTAACTTATATGTTTCTCATAGGAATTTTAAAGAGATAAGAGTTAAGTGTGCATATCTGTTTGTTTGTGTGTGTGGCTGCAAAGTAAGACAAACCACAATTTGCTGCCTGTCATTTTAGCTCTGTCTAGTGGTATTGGTTTAAAAGCATGTTTCATTACTCACAGCTTGTTTCTCATGATGACAGCCTGTGCAAGAGCCACCACAGCCATGAGGTTGACACTGATGCAAAGGAAATTTTCTCACATCAGTGTTTGTGGTCTAGCCCAATTTGATTTAGATTTGACACACGGAAGAGAGATGGGCATCTCATGAGATGATAGATTATTGACAGTGAAGACAAGACAGAGGGTTTATATGAACACAAATAGAATTTAAAATATGCAGAGTGAAAAGAAGTTTCATTTGCACAGTGCATATTTAGAGTGATGAGCTCACAAGCCTGCAAGAGGAAGGTTTGAAGAAACTTGTTTTTTCCATTTATCTCTCAGCAGGAAGCACAAATAGGAAGTGAAAATGAAAAGAAAAATGTCATTCAAAACAAAAAAGTGCCTCACTTTTTTGTTTGTTTCAAAATCTGTCTAACAGTGGGGGAAACAGTGACTTTGCGACAGCTAGTTGTGTTAATCATGACTTATAAAAGGATTTTGTGCAATTTTCCTTGTGAATCTGACGATGACTCGTACGTGCAACTTGTAGTAACATTTTACATGAGGAAATGTTGTCATTAGGCTTACAGCAGCAAAAAGAAGAGACAAGCCATCTCCAGAAATGCAGTTGAGGAACTGCGGTAGGGTTGCAACACATATCAAAAAAAGTTTCAAGTAAAAATGTAATCATCTAAATGTGGAGCGGTGCTGTGCAAATTACAATATAAAAATACATAAACATATGAAGATTCTTACTTTTGTCATGTAAAAGATACACACAGTACCTACCTGCAGACATGTTTTACTTCCTAATCTTTATTTCCATTTTCTCTGCTCTTTATTTTAGAGCACACTTGCCAAAGCTCTGTATGACAACACTGCAGAGTGTGCAGATGAACTGGCCTTCAGAAAAGGTGACATTGTCATAGTGGTGGATCAACACGTGGCCGGCACCAGTGGATGGTGGATGTGTTCTCTGTACGGACGGCATGGTCTGGCTCCTGCAAATAGACTGCAGCTCTTGCCACAAACCGGAGCCACTGCAGGCTTCTTACACCAAGTCATGGAAAAACCCAAATTAACTGATGCAAAAACTGATGACAGTATGCAAAATATCTACCAGATCCCCAGCGTACCTCGACCTTCCAGCAATCCAGCCTATGAATGCATGGACAAGATGTACAAGGTCCCGTCCACTCCTTTATCAACTTCAAAAAATCTGTCAGCACTTAAGCACAGCCCAGAAGGACCTGAGGGAGACAAGGTACAAAATGCTTTTTTTCTACCAACATGAATCTGTGTTTATGTAGAGAAGAGAAAGAATCCTGAATGTAGATGTTAGTCAGTGTATTGCTCCAAGGTCAAAGGTGGTTCTCTTCTTTGGAAGTGTTAACTCTCATGATTAGAGAGGTAGACTGTTGCAGAAATGCAATGCTGTGAACCCCCTGCTGGCAAAAGAGCTTACAGATGGGGACCAGGGGCCTCTCCATGGGGACAGGCATGCAGCACTGGGGTCTTTATGGGCCTGTAAAAGACAAACAGACACAGACTTCAGACACTTTTAACTACAAACAGCAGACCATGCCACCAGAGACCCCAGAAAGACAGAAGTGTCTGTATGGGTGCCTATGCAACAAAACGTGGGGAGAAATACACCCATATGTTCACCATTTCCTCTCCTGCTCCAGGGGAGTCCTGTTCCCTTGTGCAGTAGCCACCTAATATTCAATGAACAGCATGGGTTCTATTATAGGGCTGCGTTAATTGGCAAAGTGCATGCATAATGGGGTTCTCTGGCTCTCTCAACAGGCTTCAGAGCAAACACTGTCCCCATTAAAGCACTGACGCAGAGGTCAGTGAGGTAGATGCTGCTTTGATCAAAGCGGTGCAAGTGTTGCCAGTCAATCCCAATATGACATTCTGTCTCTCTCTCTACAGCTTACATTCTGCAATCTTGCGTCCAGTCCAAAAGGGGAGGTTTACGACGTCCCGGTCCAAGCAAGACGAGTTTCTCTTTTCACTGTGAGCACATGAAAATATTCACAACAAAGAGGATCAAAAGTAGAGACTATTTGTACATATGCTGCCACTTGAATTGGTATCTGTCTGATATCTTCATTGTTATTGTGCTCTTCTATTTTCAGGCACCTTCAACAACTTCAAGACATATGTCTCGAAAACACTCACTGATTCAAATTTCAGAGCTGGAGAAGAGATTCGAGGGTGTGAGGTGCAGCAGTCCAGGGGATTCTTATGTAAGTTTCAGACAATTAGAGGGATTGAAATGCATATTCTTCTGTATTTTATTGTGTTAATGGTTCGGTATGCTTCAAACAAACTAACATGTCCACACATTGATAGTGAAATCAGCACATGGGCAGGGCAGCAGCAGCAGTCCTCTGTCTGTGTCTACACAGGATGCGTTCAGGCACAGTATTGGGTGTAGGTCACCTGTGCTTTGGCAGCCCATGTCACAATCATTGTAGTTATGTGCATAAAAGGGGAGAAAATAGACTTGAAGTTTAAAAATATGCTTCAGGTTGCATCTATGAAGGTAGAGCATGAGTGGATCATGAGCCATAACACATCTGGATTCATTAAAATAGAAGTTTATGTGTTCCATCAGACATGCATGAGACAGATATCTGAAAAACCTCCTCCGTTGACAAGTATACCCTCACCCACCTGTCACTCAAAGCGGCCACCCCCTTAATTCTCCATAACTTCAAATCTTAGTAAAATGTAAACAGGTGAGTTACAGAAACAGTTGTCATGAAGGAGGAAATTAGCTGTAGAGACAAAAACTGTTTTTGTACCAACATGTTTATTTCTGCTGTAAAGTTGGACATTTTAACATGGGAGTCTATGTCATCCGCACTCAAAGGTGGGGTGAAGAGCCTGCCGTCATAGCCTCCTACTGGCTGCATCACACTGCATCACACACACAAACAAGCACTGACATTAGGAGGGTGTCAGATGCTCTAAGATGATCTGACAAGAACTTGGTATGAAGCATATTCAGGCACTTATTTTCCACCAAGTAGAAATGAATGCTTCATCCCTGCAGGCCTTTTATTTCTGTCTAACTGTGATATTGACAGCCTCGTTCTTGTGCACAGGTGTATGCAGTCCCACCACCTTTGCCTCAGGACCCAAACTATGACATCCCTGTTCCCTCAGCCACAGAAACCCAACAGAATATGATCGGTGTATACAGCACCCTTCCCAACCCCCGCAAGCCTGAGTGGATCTATGATGTGCCCGTGGGTCCTGAGAAATTAAGTCCACCCCAGGGCTCCTATGACACCATGCCACACAAAGCTGTTTGTAGGCAGCTCTATGATACTCTTCCAGCACATGCTTGGCCCACACAAAGATGCAGTCCAACCCCCTCAGTTTATGATATACCAAAACCCAGTTCACTTGACATCTCGAGTCCGCCCAAAGTGGTCCCAATTTATGACAAGCCCCCTACGCAGATGACTACAGAGGAGTCAGTATATGCTGTCCCACCCCAAGAAGAACCCTTCACCCGAGTTCTCAGTGATCCCCCCAGTGATCATATACCCCTAGAGTGCAGAGGTGACTCAGGCAATGTTCATGAACTCAATAGAGTGTGCCTGCAGAAAATGAGGAACTTTCTGGCCTGTACGTCTTTCCATGACCTTCCAGGAAGTGGGGAGTCACTGGTGCAGGAGGACAGCGAGAGAGGTAGAATCCTACATCTCTCTGCAGCAGACAGTCAAAGAATCAGCACGGCCTCCAGCTCTTCCACCAGCTCCTGTGACTCTCTGGCTCTGAGCTCGTCCTCTCCAGAGCCTTTGCGAGAGGTCACGCTCAGCCAGGATGAGGCCTGCCGCAGACTTCTGGAGCTGCAGGAGTCCATTTGCAGGGCCGTGCCCCGGCTCATGGAGTTCGTCAGCAGTCACTGGAGGAGCAAAGAACATCTGCAGAAACACCTGCAGGAGATCAAAGAAGCAGCAGAGGCCATCGCATGTTCTCTGACATGCTTCCTAAACTTTGCCCTGGATGTAAAGGGTAACGCTCGTCGTTTGACTGATGCCAACCTTCAGACGAGGCTCTATAAGCAGCTGTCCATCATTGAGGACTCAGGTGTGATCCTACAACAAACAGTGGGTGCTCTGAACATGGCCGGCTGGCCGCTCAACACACTGTGCCAGGACCCGGGGCAGGTCCAGACACCTGACCAACTGGAGCGCTTTGTCATGGTGGCACGAACCATTCCAGAGGATGTCAAGCGCCTGGTATCCATCATCATCGCCAACGGCAAGCTTCTATTCAGAGCTTCTCAGAAAGATCCACAGCCTCTCAACATCACAGCTCCGCCAGAGACAAAGAAGGGTCCCAGTGGAGGCGAACAAGAGGGGGACTTAGTGGAGGACGACAATGACTATGTAGAGCTACAGGTAAACACTGATCCTTTAATCATCAGATATAATATAATAGGTAACCATGGTAACTGGATGAGTTTTCAACTAAGAAAAACCAAAGCATTCAGTAATGTTTTGTTTTTGCTTTTGACTTCAGACTAAAAATGACTTTGAAAAGCAGCAAAAGAAACTGCAAAGAGAACCGAAAGAAAATGTCACACCTGTCTCTAACAAGGCACAGGTGAGTAACTCCTATAAACACATGACAATGTGACAATGAAAAACTTTGCCTCTCAGAAATTTAGATTTTTATATTTCCATCTGCAATGCACCTACCCCAGACTTTCCTTGTAGTCAGTATAGTCAGTATAAATATGATATGTTCAAAGAGGTCAAAACTACAGCAACACTTGTAGTAAACAGAAGAACTTTTTCTATTCTATTTTTATTTTGCTGGTGCATTTTATTGCCTTTTACATATAAAGCATTTTATAAAGATTTAAATTTGAGATTTTTGTGGGGGTCCTATGCCACATCAAATGGACACAGTTTGGGACAAGGTCCCCTTTATACAACCCGTTAACTACACTTTGAATAAAACATGGTGTCAGCCATTTCACCTATTGGACATTCCTCACCAGCCTGGAACAGTGATTGGCATGAAGCCACATGACCAAAGGTCCAACCCACCTTTGAAGTCGCCCGACCGGCAGATATCTATATGTTCACGCTGGATTGACTGTTTTGAATAATTTTTTTGTTCCATACTTATTTTATTTAAATGTCACCTGTGATGTGTTTTCTGAAGACGCTGATGAAGGCCACAAGCTGAAACATGTTGGTCAAAATTAGTTCTTCTGTTTACTACAAATGTTGCTGGGGTTTTAACCTCTTTGGACCTTTTCCTGTCTCCATGCACCTTAGAAGCAGGTCACGTTGTGCCAGAAGCCTTATTTTGTTCCTAAATGTGATATGTTGTCATCTTGACCTTCTCTGCTCCATGTCTTCCCTACTCAGGTTGATAACAAGCGTCATTCCTCTGAGTCCAGCAGTGGCACAGAAGAGCAGCGATCATCTTCCCTGTCAGAGCACTGTCGGCTTTACTTTGGCGCCCTCCAGAAGGCTATCAGGGGATTTGTGGGCAGCCTTCAGGATGGCCAGCCACCGGAGAAATTCATCTCGCAAAGTAAGTTGGTAATCATGGTGGGCCAGAGACTGGTGGACACTCTGTGCAGGGAGGCCCAGCGTGGAGGGTCTGGCCAGAGCCTCCTGTGTAAGAGCAACCACCTGTGTGCTCTCCTGAAGCAGCTGGCTGTGGCCACCAAGAAGGCGGCGCTGCACTTCCCGGATAAGCAGGCTCTGCACGAGGCCCAAGAGTTTGCAAAGGAACTGGCCCAACGAGCGCAGCACTTTCGGATATCGCTTGACCTCTGAGAGCACATATCAAGCATATTGATTTGTGTCAGCAAAAGACATTGGTGTATTCATCAGTCCATCTATGTCTCTGGTCATTCATTTCATATTCAACTGTTATGAAGCTTCGTATCCAAGAAGAAGAAGGTCATTGCTTTTAGCTGAATGTTATTATCATAAAGAATGCAGGCACAGGTTAAAATGGTCAAACAGAACAATTAATACTCAAATAAAAGACTTCTACACAATGGAATTTCAAAATAGATTGCACATTTAGGATACTGTATTCAAACATATTTTAAAATACAATTTAAATATTAAGTATGAATTCATTTGTTTTATATAATTTACAACAGTTTTATATTCTTTGAATATTGTTTGTTTTGTGGATGTTTAATGTATTTTATTGTGTAAGAGGTACACTCTGCAGGGTAGTAGTTTGGTAAAGTCTACTTTATGTGAATATCTGTGTAAATATTCTAAAAAAAAAAAATGTGTTATGCATTCCCAAACAAAAGACTAAGAACAACACCTGTAGGATTTTTATTGATATTAAAATTAAAAACTGAAAACTCTATATGTTGTTTTCTCTATATGTCTGTCTGATGTAAAATATAGCAAGATGGATGTTGTAATATGAGTAAGTCTTGGTAGCACATTAGGACCATTAAGGCTGAAGATTTGAACTTTAATGCCCTTTGTTTTCCAGATCAAAAGGGATATTATATGCACATTAGATCCGATTTAGAGTTAAACAAGGAATTGCCTGAATTGTCTGAATTGTCTGAATTGTCTGAAGCAAACCAGATTTTGATATGGGATCCCAAATGATCAGTTGGCTGAATGGGGATCTAGTCTTGACAGTTATCTCAACTTTAGTTTAGAGTCTACAAATTTATAATATCTAGAATCACCTCCTCGTGGTTGTCTGCCTCCTCCACTCAGAGTAGTTTCAGACCATTTGTGTGAAATTTTATCATAATTGCTGTGTGAAGTCTTCAGTTATGTCACACTGACCTTGACCTTTGACCACCAAAATCTAATATTTTTTTCCTTGAGTCCAAGTGAACATTTGTACCAAATTTGAAGAAGTTCTGTCAAGACATTACTGAGATATCATGTCCACAAGAATAGGATGTATGTACGGACAGATGGATAGATGGACCACCCGAAAACAATATACACAAACTGAGGGCGAGCAGTTGGAAAGGTGTGGGCATTGAACAGGCAGGGTTTGGTGATAAGATGCTGCATTGTGGTAATTGTAGAATCCAGTTTTTTTGGAGCTTAACCTATTTTAGGGACTCCAAATCTATAGTAAATATTTCTGCCTCAGCTGCTTTGATTTTGACCATTCTTTTAAAAAGTCTATTGAGTTCCCCAACTTTATAAAAGTGTAACACTAAATCACAGGGTTTTACTGCTCACTGTGGTGGAAATTAATTTTTGTGCTGTTTCGACTCTACAGGAAAGTCAGAGGTCAGTGTCAATACAGAACAGGAAGTGTGGAGATGATGTCTTGCACACAACTTCATTTATAGTTAACCTTTTACCATCCACTGTTCTGCCCACAGGATGCCAACACTATGTAGAGCTTCCACTTTCAGACTGCTAGAACAGTGGCATTTTACATGAATGTGAATGTCATATACAGCAGAGTGCAAATTATACAGTGACAATCAAGGGAGGGTCAACTGAACCAGTACAGCATGGATGTTCGTCAGTGAACTGTTACAGTCCTTACAGTATCTTGGTTGTTTAACTAAAGCTTTCCAATAAATGTAGTGGAGTAGAAAGTGCAACATTTCCTCTTCCGTGGCATTTGGCTGATCAGTGGTGGAAATATGATCAATCAGTCAGTCAGTGACATTCGTCATCATAGAGCTGGCGACTGCTGACGTGGCCCAGCCAAAAAGGTAAAATACTAACTAAACCACCTCAGCCACACCAAAGACTATTACATGAAATAACTGTATTCAACTAATCCTCCAATGTCTCACTGCTAATGACTGAGCACCAGTGTTTGCTAACATTAGATCATATATGATATTTTATATTGGTAATGAAACGACAAGACGGCACTGGAAATGATAGGGTGCAGCATCAGCTAGCTAACATTAGTTAGCTAAACTGTAACTTAAGGCCAAAATTAGAAACTAGCTAACATTAGTTAGTCTGTAACTTAAGGTAAAAAGTAGAAACTCACTAAGCTAGCTAGCTTTGTGTCCATCTGTAGATACTTGACTAATTCAGAAACTCAGAAGGTAAGAAAGTTAACTGTATTTAAAAATATAAATAGTTAGCTACTGCTAATTACATTTACCTACAGTGCCTGTGCAGCGCATGGGAGCAGAGATTTCAGGGTGAGAGGCACTGATGGAGTGCATGGATGTATTATTAGAACTGGATACGGCGCCACTGCTCTGCCTTGCAGCCAATTTTTCCCAGTGGCCACTCGTGGTACTGCAGAGAAAAATCCCCTGCAGCCCAAAAAGCATTTTCCCAATAGTAAAAGAGACGCTCAAAATTTTTTTCCTTTTTGTGGATGACGTCACCGCTGTGTACGTGCACTCTACGCATTGGTCGAGCTGTCTCAGGAACTAGGATGCTTGTTGGTTGATACAAACACTGTACGGAAGTTAGTAGGAAAACTGAATAATTAACAATATAAAGGTGAGTCTTTGTTTTCACACATCAAAATATTTTGATTTTGTGATTTTGTGCGGCAGTTATTAGTCACTTGTCAGACTTTGTTCTCAAACGTAATATTAGTTTTTTAATCTATATATTAGTTGATATATTAGCCGCGTAATGACTAGATTCACTGATATGACTCTGTAAGTGATTTTTCATAACTACCCCGTAACACTTTTCTTCAGTGAATTTTAATTTGGTAAGTCATTTACCTGATTGTGTGGTCAGTATACTGTATGTTAAATGTTCAATGGCATTCATTATCATTTAAATTAAATCCTTTTGATGTATTTTATCTTTTTCAAATCAAATATCTGGGACAGTAATGTATTTAATGAAAAGACCTGGGTTCTGTGACAGCTACATATGTGGACATTGAAATTCTGCAGTGTTGTGGAAATATTGTATTGTATTGAACTATTTAATAATGAAGAGTCACACCATGCAGCCTGGCACTAATTTTACATATACAATATGAAATAACAGTGAATTAATTAATAAATACATTTAAATACGAGTAAAACTGAAAAGGCTATGTTGGATCAAAGTGGTAAGACCATGAAAAACACATCATCATGGACAAAATCTCATTGTAAAAAATTACCAAAATCAACACATTTTATTTGATATGCTCCACTATAAATAAGTAGTAGGCCTATAAAAATACGTAGAAGATGTGCTACATGAATATGCTTCAATATAAAAATGTAAAAAAGTCCTTGTGATATTTTATCTGACAAGTTGTAATATCTGTCACATGTAGCATCAATTTCTAATAAAAATGCTAAAAAACAAACAAGTCAATCTAAATATTTTTGTCCGATTATGATTTATTGTGTTGAATCTAAAGTGATTTTAAGCTCTAAAGCTTTTAACTGAATGACTCCTTTTCCCCTGGATCTGTGTATCTATATGTATGTATTATACATATATATAATATTATTCAGTTATGATGTACAACAATACTGAGAGAATTATATGAAGCAAAAGTCAGACGTTCTATAAATGTATAAGCTATGTAGGTGTATCCACAAAGCATTAAAGGAGGACCCACAAGAAGGCTTTTATCATGTCACTTAATATTCAGCAGCTATATATAAATGTAGGCCATTTACAACAATCAATGACTTAGCACCAAGTGAACCTGGGGCTTATTTTGCCCTGTAATCGAGCCTTGAATGTGCATTTTGAGGAGCTAGGACACAAAAATCATGTTATGAACCTGGGAGACAGAAATGTTTTCAGTTGGTTAATAGCAGATGGTGTACATTATACATTCTACAAAATTGGACATTTTGAGTTTTGAGTTTGAGACCGATTCCTCGGTTGAAGGTTCCAAATGGTCTGACTAGTTAAGAAAACATAGCTTGCCAAAAAAAAAGGAGAACTTCTGAATAACTGCTGTGCGCGCGCACACACGCGCACACACACACACACACACACACACACACCCTAACTGTATGCTGCCCTCTAGGGGTATTGAACATTACTTCATTACTGCTGACATTACTTCATTCACAAATTTTGATTATCTTCTTAGGACATTTGGAACTTACTAGATGACTGATGACTTGATGATCATTAAATGAATTACATATTTTTTCATCCAAGTCACATTATTTAAGAGTATACAATTCCAGTGTCTACTTCTCTCAGCTTTAAATTTTACAAAACTGTAGGTAAAAGTAAGAAAAAGAGCTGCACGCAGTGCTAATAGCTCCCAGAAATTTTAATAAAACAGCAACATTTCAATCTGCAAGGATCTTCATCAGGCACTGTCAAATCACCATCACAAACCACAACAGGCATTATATAGACACAAGCTTCTCACACAGGTGATTGTGATAGACGTGAACCAATCAGAGCAGAGCTGGACAACACTGCCTGATCCTACCATATAGCGGATGGGACAGTCTGTATTGAGAGCACATTGAAACATCGGCCAAAGTTCAGAGTCATATAGACACACATAGAATACAATTTATCAAAAGGCAAGTCAAATATTATTCATAAGTCAAATAAGTATAAAAACTACTAAATAGCAAAATACATAGAAAGATTGAGAAAACAAATATTGAAAAATTACTACATAGAAAAATATATATAAAAGTAGAAAATCATAATATTATACATGCCCAAGACTTTCTGGATTGCAGGCAAGCTTAGTCTAACAATTGGCCAGAGTTTTCACACACCTGCAACAAAAAAGATAAAAAATCAAGGAAGGAGGCTGAAGGTTACATCAACAGATATAGGTTCTTGAAAAGGACCATCATATTCATTAAGATGTCTGTAAAGAGAATCTGTTAATCATATTTGGAAGAAGTATTTTGTATTTTTCAACTATTACTACTTACAAAAAAGGTTTAAGATCAAAATCTAAATTTAGGGATATCACCTCCCCTTCAAAGTGTTTTCACATTTTGAATCCCTATGTATCTCAGTGTGGAAGGATCATGTTTTGATGAAGTGCACAGCCATAGAGTTCTTTTGATCATTTGCATGTATGCTGCTTTTATGTTCTGAGATAATGGTTTTAAGGCAGCATGGGTTTTTCCTATATAAACCAAGTCACAGGGACATTTGATCATTTGTTAATGATACCCTTGATAATGAGTTGTTTTTTTTTTTTTTTACCAGAATCCAAACATTTCTGGAAGCTATAATATCTTCTTTTCTTTTTTTTCGTCTTTTTTTTACTTTTGTCTTTAGTTTAATCTTTTTGAACCAGCAACTGTGACAGTGCTTTTTGATGTGCGTGCTTTACACCCCATAAAACTGTAGGTATAAATCCAAAATCTAAATGTTCTACTAAATAAGAAGAAAATCCAGGGAACTGACTAGCCTAATCTGTTGTATTACTTATATT